TCCTTTTCAAGATCTATTCATTCATCTCTCCATTCTGGTCCAATTCCTGACTGGTGGCAGCCCATTCTCCAGCATCTACTGAGCGTTGCAACCAAGATCCAACACAAAACATCCAAATACAGAGTGCGTGTGTTTAGAGGAAGATTCACACAGATCTGAGACAAAGATTCGAATTGCAAGTTAAATGTACTCTTTATGAACGGAAGGACTGAGAGTCCATATACTCAAACCCTAACATCTCACACACACTCCCACCTGAAATTAATTAGAGGAGTGTGATTGAGAGGTCTGAGGTTGCAGAAAATGCCTTCAAAACCCTGGGTGCTTCTCAAAGCCAAGGAACCTTGCCTTGATGTCTTGGCCCCGCCCCGGTTACCAAGGAGATAGGTCATCGAGAGCGCCAAGACGTGTTCCAATGTTCATGTTCTACCAAGGCGTGTGTTTGCCATTTATTAGCCATTTAGCTAGCTGAGCGAGGATACACGGGAGGTGTCTTGTAGCCTAGCCTTGGTCAAAAATTACCCAGAATACACCACGGTATTTTCAAAAGGATGGCAGATCAGAAGCCGGCAACTACTTCTGGGACAATTTTCAAGTTGAAAAGTAAGTCAAGTAATTTATAAAAAAAAAATTTATATCCGAAGAAGTTATCTATTGTCTGTTAGTTGCTTAGTAGTTGCAGCTTCGGTGGCTAGCGGGTAGTAACTCACTCATATTTTTTATTTAATAAACATGCACACAATTTTAAAGTAAAAGGCTCATTATATATTTATATTGAAACTAAAACGTATAAAATTTAACATTGTCTCCTGTGTTACGTGACCACTGTTGGGAGCGTTACTTTAAAAAAGTTATTTGTTATAGCTACTGATTACTTTGTCAAAAAAGTAACTCAGTTATTAACTGAGTTACGAGAGTATTCAAGTAACTAATTACCAAGAAAAATAACTACTTGGTTACTTTTTTCATTAAAGAATGCTAGAAAAATGGGTTTCCCTCTTAATTGAACTTTCTTAATTTACTATAAATTACTACAATAGTGAAATATAAAGAACTAATGACTGGAACACAATAAAATGTATGTCCAAATGAGGAACTACTGACAGGAACATTACACGTATCTAGACTATTAAAAGGTCACTGTGTGATTTTCAACAAGACCCCAATCAGCTAAAATTGAAAATTGCAAATAGAAACACCTGTAAAGGTTCCCGAGCCTTTAAATGGTCTCTCAGGCTAGTTAAATTACAGAAATGAATGTAATTTTGCACAGTACTCTAATTTTTCCACCTTCACATAATTGTGTGTGTTTTAGCAGCATTTCTCTTGCTGGTAATCAAGTAATGGTTAAATAAATAAATAGATATCCTTTAAAATGACACTAGAAGAGGCACAAGCCCGATGGAGGACCTAAATGTACTAACTTGGGTCAGACCCAAACACAGAAGAGCTGAAGCTGGGTGGTAAACACACAGAGGTAGTTCTGATGACACCTGAGCTCCATGACGTCTGAGACTGATGCATCAGCGTTGAGCTTGGTTTATGCTTGACGCGTCCACGAGGTTCGCACGGTTCCACGTGGCAAAATTGTGTCATTTTAACAACCACGCCCCTCCACCGCGCCTCCGCACGGCCCAAAATTTCCGCACCGCGCACCTAGGAAATTTTCTAACCACGCGGACGGTCGGACGCGGAAAAACATGGCAGACCGGCAAGAACTAGTATGGCAGAGGTTCGTAAATACAGACATTTGTATGATTCAGCTCTCAGAGATCACCGTGATCAACATGTTGTTAATAATTCTTGGAGAGAAATAGCTCGCACTGTCGGAAAAGACGAGAACGCTGTTAAAAAATGCTGGAATGCCATGTTATAAACAACAGTAATTTCTACTTCTTCTATAGTGTAGTGTTGAATGCATGCTGTAGAGCTCCATGCTGCCCCCTACAGTTTGGGAGAATATTGGCTCACCGCAGAGACAAGCCGCATGAACCATAAACGCTGCGAGTTGTGAAGCTCGTTCCAGCCGCGAGCCGCATCACCAAGCGGAAAGTAAATGCATCGAGCATAAACCAAGCTTTACAGCGGGACTAAAGGTATGATCAGAAACAGGTTACAGCTGGATGATCTAGGAAGGTAGAAGATCGTGACGTCTGAGTGGTGAACAGGTCAGCGGACCATCGGGACGTCACGCCAAAAAGGGCACGGCTGCAGATTCCCACCTGCAGCAGCGAATCTGCGGGTCTGCAGCTGTATCTATTCATCACGTCTTCCTCGTTCTTCACGGGCCGTGATGCGCTTGGATGAAAACATCTGCCTCTTTAGCTCCTGATCAGCTGATGACAGCTTCAACACACCGCGCTGCTTAACAGAAACGACGTTTTGATGAAAGAAGACGGTAATTAATTAGTTTGCTCGTTACAGAAAAAAATTATTAACGAGGTTATTTTAAACGGCGTTATTCCCATCACTGCTCTGTTGTGTCTACAGCATGCAGTGACAGTGAGAACACTGAGGGTCTCCGCCCACCTGACCAATCATCATCGTGTTTGTAAGTGCGTTACCGACTCCTCTCTTTCCCTGGCTGCAGCTGGCATGTGGCGGTCAGAAAGCCTCACGCTGTTGCTCAATGTTTGACAAGCACATAGTAACGCACAACCTTCCGTCCCCAGTAACGGTAACGGAGTTGCAACAGTGGGAAAAGTAATTCATTAGATTATTCCGTTACCTAATAAAGAATGCCGTTATACTTAAACGCAGTGGCAGCTCCCATTGGAGGCTTCAGGATCCCGCCCAACCCCGCCTCCCCATCGGACTCTGATGTTGTATCTGTGCTGTTTGTGCTTCCATGTTAAAGGAGGAGTTTTTTTGTATAATAGAGTTACTCCCCGCTGGATCTAACTCTGCTATGCCTTTTTTTTACCTACCCCCACTTATCCTCATGTAACACCCTTTTCGTCTATCTATTAAGGTAGCGCGACTCATGTTGCGAATGACCGCAGTCACCAATTCTTGTCATGTGTCTTACCCACGTATGTCTGATCTTTGAATTGTGTGTAATGAAACTCAATTTCGTTTCTCTGTATGTCCTGCACATGTGGTAGAAATGGCAATGAATTACTTTGACTTTGACTTTGAAACGGCGTTACTCCCAACACTGCACATGACGTTACGTGACCGCCGTGGAAGCCACGGTCACGCGATGCAAGTCTGTTCTATTTAACCGTTTTCTTTGACCATGGAAGGACAGTGTCCTTGTAAGCAAGGTGCCTGGCTTCGCAAGTTATCGCCTCACAAGGCCAGGTGCCTTGACATTGAGAAACACCCTCAGTCAGTAAGAAAAGGGAGGGTCCACACCAGGAAGCAAACACCATTTCCAGGAGGCAGGGACAGGACTTTGGAGAACAGTTTTGTCTACACAAGTGACATTTTGTAAGCAAAAATTTATGTGAAACTTGTAGAAAGCTTTATTCTTCTAAGTCCATTAAAGATCCAAAGAGACAAACTCTTCTTTGATGCTTGGTTCTTGGATTCTTTATGCATTTCTTTGTTCTGAGGCTAAACTGAGTCCACTCCATGGCTGAGAAGAACCACTCACTTAAATGGTGTCAGGTTGCTTTACTGCTGGCCAGACTTGGAACTGAACGGACCACTCATCTCCTCTTTTTCCAGATATTCCAAACAATCAGAATGGGAATTTATTTTTGGGGAAATATCAGACGTGGAGTCCCCGAAAATTTAGCTTAACATCAGTGTGTTTCAGGTGGTCTTCTTGGAGAGAAATTGCTTCTTTGCTACCCTTTGTCACAGTCTGGTTTATTTTTTCACACACTAATTGGTGTTGAGTCTCATCTCTCCTCTGCAGGTGGGCGTGCCTGGAAGTGGGGAGGCTGCAGGTAATCTGCTGATTAGCTGGCCAGGGATATTTAAGCTCCTGAGAGACGCCTTCACTTCGCTGGATGATTAACTCGACTCGGGTATTTCTCCTAACAGCCAAACTCAACCTAAGCTTTGATCTTGAGAATTTCTGGATTATGGATTTTTGTGCTCTGTGTGTTTTTGACTGCCTGTTTTTGTCTCGTGCAGATATCTCCTATCAGTTCACCTCGTTGCTGCTACCAACCTGGTTTCTTCACTGTCCACTCGTCTCTCAGCGTCCTCCTCTGGTCTTCCCACTCCAGGCTGCCCACCCTCCCTCCTGGATCACCATTACCCTTCATGCTCAGCTCCCTCCTCATTTGGACTCTAAGCTCATCTGCCTCCAGTAAGCCTCCTGCCCTCCCCAGACGGGTCACTCCTCCCTCTCTCACGAGGTCTCACCTCCAACCCGTAAGTTCCATCAGATCCAACATTCAGATTTCCGAGTGCCAGACCTAACTCTCCCTGTTCCTCCAGACTCTCCACACCCGAACCTTGCTTCTCTGCCGAATACTGCTAGACTTCCTAGCAGCTCGTTCTGTTCTCCTTTTACAAATGGGCCATTCCCATCTGTACCGGGTCGGCCCGGGCCGGGTAGCCCCAGTCGGCCCCAGCCTGGCCCGGGTGATTCCACACATCCTTGTCTTAAGCCCATGTGGGCTGATTCTACCCACCAATCAGAGGCTTGCTCTAATGGAAGGTGTGAATTTGCTGTCAGCAGTGGGTGTGTTGGCCCTGGTCGGCCTGAAGCAGACCCCCTCGAGAAGAGGGCTGAGAATGAGCCTTGGTTGGCCCGGGAAAAATACCAGGCCACCCAGATATGTAAACAACCTACGCTACCCGGCCCGGGCCGACCCGGTACAGATGGGAATGGCCCATAATTATTGTTTGCCATCTTCTCTGACTCTGTGGACTGATTCTGTATGTCGTGGGTTAGGTATCTACCACACAACATGACACCCTTCTTGACATCAGCCATCCTCCAATGGTCTCCTCATATTTTCGTCTTCAGCTGTTGACTCGTCGCTCTGTTTTGTAGTGAAAATATTGAACCAAACATTACACGCATACTGTGTAGCTTTTGATTTTATGGGCGGCAAATTGCTGCGTTTTGACAGCAGGTGAATTAAAGGCAGCTTAAAAGATGAAAACATTCAACATTTATTTGAGCTGAAAGACAGAAGAGAAGGCATAATTATCACAGAGAAGTACTGTAGGAACAGATAGAGAGAGACAGTCAAAACTGACAACATTCAGATTAAAAATAAGTGAAGTTTTTAAAGCTTCTGCTGCAGCTGAGAGGCACTGAAAAACAAGCGTGCAACACGCTGCTGTACTGTCCTGCTTCACAGCTAGCCCGTAAAAATGAGCAGTCTTTCTTCTGCAACTCAGGTCTCTCATAAGCCATGTACTCTAGTACTGGTAATTCACACAAACATTTATTTTTATTTGAACGTTTGAACACTTTACATCAAGAAAAAAATACATTGTTTTCTGTACAGTTGTAAATTTTCTTTACAGATTTCAAAACTATTCACAATGTTTGCACATTTAGAGTGTTTGACCTTGGCTTGAGCTTCTCAGTTCATCAAAGTCACTCAGTTCAGTCGATAAAAAGGCATCAACAGCATCGACAGAGTGCTGTTGCATTGTGTGCATCGATTTATGCTGAACAGAAGGGTTTGTATGAAGCAAAAATGGGCAAAAGTGCAAAAAATTCACAATACAGTAGGCATTGATGACTAGTTAGGCATGAGGCACTTATGTTGGATGTTTGGATGCCTGTTGATGAGATTTTAGGAACCAGAATTGTCAGATTTTCCATCAAAACGAACCAAAAGCATCCAGGATGCCACTGAAAAGATTAGAAAAAGCTGTAACTAGCAGAAAGTGGTGCTAATAGACATTTTTTCTGGACTGTGACACAAATGCAAATTAAAGTGAGATCCCAACGTGCACATGGATGACTCTCGCCAAAAACCGCTGCCATGTTTGCAAGTGTTGTAGTGACCACAGTAGTGACCACAGGTGTTGGAGTTCTCAACTCTCAGGGAATCTCTGCCTTCACCATCTGCAGGTTTTTGTTTTTTAATCATTCGCTCATCAGAATTCAGTTTGGATTGCTTCAAAAGGACATGACTACAAGATGCTAACCCGAAGAAATTAAACAATCCAAATGATTTGTCGCATGAACCTGACGAGACTTTCTGGCACTGAGAATCAAGTGTTGTGGTCTTCCCGTCTTCCTTTTATCTTTCAAACACACAGAAGAGTCTTCGCCTCTCCCCTTCTTCTGTTTCAGTCATTTAATGCATGCAGATAGCCAGTTTACTTTTTCTTTTTTGAAAAATGCACAGCTGTCCCTGGAAAAGATGTTGTCCTCTGGGTTTTGGATGCTGGAGAAGCTCAGACTTGTTCTGCATTATTCAGACTTCACAGATGTGGAGATGAGCTTTGCCAGGGGTGCTGAAACAACCTCACATCACACAACCTGGGTCTTGGGAATCCCTGCTGGGAACATTTTGTAGGGTCGTTTTAATCTTTGATCCAGAGCACACGGGCTTTGTTTCCTCTAAAACAAAAAACAACTCTGGAATCCTGAATCACAAGATCACCAAGAAGGTTTTCGAGGTCTTTTCTTGATGTCCAGTTTTGCCTGTCTCGCTCAAACTTTTTATGCAAAGCCCTTTCATTCTTTCTTTGAAGAGGATTGATTTGAAACTTTTGATTTCTCATGCATAGTTTTTTTATGATAGAGACTTCTGTTCAGTCAGCAATTAGAACAAAGACTCTTAAAGATGTCACATTTGTGAAACGTCACTTACAAACTGAACAAGCCCTTAATTAACTGACTTTTTTGCAACATTTTGCGGGCCTTAAATGCACAAAAGACATAAAGCATCACATATCTTGAGTTTATATCCATTTGCAATCAGATGATGGATAATAGTAAACACTAAAACTTTAACAATTTCACATTTGATTGACTCTTCTTTAGGAAAACAAAGCTTTAGCTCCAGATGCTGATGATTTTTTTACAGCTGTCATGCTACTAGTGCTGCCGTCTTACAATTATTCATAACCAAACACAAGTCTGTGTGCTTTTCTTGGTTGTACTTTGACAAAACGCATGAATTATGCACAAAAGTTAGCAGCAGCAACAAAAAAGGAGCTTACAAAAAGTATTTTCATGAAATCATCAATGGTTTGACCTCATGCTTGCAGCAAGTTGTAAGTGGACTTCAGGTGCTGTTGGAAAAATCGAGTTGCTTCAGGAGGAACACAAGAGCGCTTCAGTTGTCTCGAGCCTCTCATCTGCTAGCCAACATACTAAATATTTTTACATAAATGGTGATCATTTGGTTTTTTTAACCCACAAAGCCTTAAACATTACAGCAAAACAGGCTCAGCAGAGTTTAAAGTGGTATAAAACAGGTATGCTTGTTTCAAAACCACCTAAAAACTTCATGATTCTCTCAGCTGTTTGATGAATGAATACATTTGCATTCAAAACCGCGGTCTCTTCTGAGTGGACTCGTCCATGTAGCGTTCATCCTGCATCCCTTTTCAGGTATTAGCAATCCACGAGACAGCCATGTGTCGGACTCCATCGCGTTCTCCACCAGTCTCTTCTTTCTTCCTGTTTTCTGCTACAGTGTTTCCTCCTCATCCTCAGGCACTGCACTTGTATTCAGAGCGGGGAGATTTTCCTTCAGAGAGATATCGTCCACTTGTTTGGGCCCACTGTCCTCCAGTTCCTCCGGTATGGATGGATCCGAGTTAGTCATGACATACCCTGGAAGGGTAGCGTGCACGTTGATGGAGGGTGGACACGTGCTTCGACTGACGCGACTCGAAGCCAGCGTGGTGGAGCGCGTTGAGATGCCACCGCCGGCCAGGTGAGACTGGCTGCTGGTGCTGTTGTTGTTCAGACCCACGACCACAGAGCCGTAGCGGTAGCGGCCACAGACCACCGGGCCCTCCCAGTCAAAGGCCAAGTTCCAGCGAGTCCACGTTTTCTTTATTTCTGTCTGGACCTGCGAAAGTCAAGAAAATGTATTACAGAATCACTTTTGTGACACGAGGTAAGATCAGCGTGGTCAGAGGCGGTTGTCCATCTCCCTCCACGACTATTCACAAATCTGTCGCACTTTAAAGAGAGGTGCCGCAGCTCTTCTGGGTGATTAATCTATTTGGACAAGTTAAGAGCTCCAGAGGACTCATTCCTGACCATCAGACTCTTTCTCCCACAGCTTTGATCTTGGTTCTTTGGAAAAATCCAAGTAATCATTTTTGATTGGAGATGTTTTTTTCAATAGACTGTTTAACCTTTTGATGCATAATGGTCACTACAGTGGACAGGTACTCAAAATTGTTATTTATTTGTTTTTACTATTAAGCACAGCTGTTGAAGACTTTATTGCATTTGAGCTCCTCCATTTTGACTTCAGTAAGTAAAGCCAACATATTTCTTGCTCAGAATGCACGCTGTCCACCAAGGTGGACATGTAATAAATTATTTGTAAATTATAAAATTTAACAAAAATATTTGTTGAAATTTGTTTCATTCACACCTAAAGATGAATGAAAAAAGTTGTTAAAAATTCATGGTTGAAGATTTCATAATTCATGCATCAAAGGGTTAATGCCATGGTGAAAACTTGTCCCTTTCAACTGTTTGTTCCTTGCTAAGGTCAGATCTTTTCATCTGTCAGATTGACAGAAGATGATTCATGCATTCATTTCATTCAGATTGGACTACTGTAACAGCCTTGGTATGAGCCTGTCATCCATAACGCTGCAGCTAAGCTTCAGACAGACGATTGTAAAATAGACCACATCTCACCTGTCCATGTCACGTTGCAATGGGCTGTCTGCACATTTTATAAATCAGTTTAAAGACCAAGTTCACTGAGAAACTGTTTTGGTGGGTTTTGTTTTTCAAATATGATTGGTCACTCAGAGTTTCGCATGCAGGCTAAACATGAAAATAGGCTTCTGACCCTATTTTCTGCATTAGCCACCGACAGACGATAGACTGAAGAAGTCTGTCAGGTCTACGTCACACTGAAAATTTGCATTCACACGCCCATCTCGCTTCGCGACGGGAGCTGTTGTTGATTTTTGCAGCCAGGAGGGAGCAAAGCATGACTCAGCTTATAGAAGCTAACTGTTAGCATTACTCAACAACACGGTAGAACTTCTACCTCCTGAAACAGGAGCGCCTGAGCTTTTTCCCACAGAGATCAACTCACAAGGCATTCATTTATACTAGAGACCATTGCAAATGTGTTGAACAAAAAACGAGTTAACTTGGTCTTTAAGGGTTTACTGTTTGTTTTTAAATTCTCAAATGGGCTTGCTCCATGCACAGAGGGAGAACATCCCATCCTTTCACATAGAAAATTAGATTTTACACAAATATCTGAAGAAATAAATGAGCATTAAAAGTATTATTCTCACGTATTTATGCTTCATCTTTGATAAAATTGTGGGAGATAAGTATTCCCAGATAGACAGTTGGGTTAGGGTTTGGGTTTGCAAAATAATGGACATCTTAGTGAGAAGCTGAGCGTAATTAAGTGTTTTGGGAACATAATACGCTGCAGCTTTGTTTATTTTATTAGAATGTGTCATTTAGAGAAAAAAAAACACTCACCTCAGCATTGCAGTAGCAATAGATAATGGACACAAAGAAGCCCTGAACAGAAAAAGAAAAAGCACATCATGAAGCCAGCAAGTCCTTGGATCAGAGGGATTTCCTGTCTCCAACAGTAACTCAGTTCATGCTGAAATGATGTTATGAATCTTTACACACATTGCACGGAAGCTGGTTCTCATTTTTCAAAAATGCAAGTAACAATGTTCAGGAAGCAGCTTTATGATAAATGAATGATAAATGACCCGCACTTGTATAGTGCCTCTCAGAGTAAGGACTCCAAAGCGCTTTACACTACAGTGTATCATTCATCCATTCACACACACATTCACACACTGATGGTGATGAGCTACGATGTAGCCACAGCTGCCCTGGGGCACACTGACGGAGGCGAGGCTGCCGAGCACAGGCGCCACCGGTCCCTCCGACCACCACCAGCAGGCAAGGGGGGTTACGTGTCTTGCCCAAGGACACAACAGCAGAATTATCTGTCCGGAGCCGGGATTGAACCTGCAGCCTTCCGATTACTGGACAACCCGCTCAACCTGTTGAGCTGCTGCTGCCCCATTATAGTACAATTCTAATGATAATTACAAGAAACTGGTGTTCTGGCCGACTTCACTCTGTGTTCCAGCTTCACTGCATGACGTAAAAACCTTTTTTATGAATGTGGAGGATTACAGGAAGGTGTGACGGTTCCTCTTTGTGTCAGAGTTGGTGTCTATGGACTATTTCATGTGTTTCTGCAGTTTATCTTCATCAAAGAGACAAAATAATCTGAAAAATGTAAGATTATGTAACCTCAGAATTTTTCTTTTCCAAAATTGTTCAAAATAGTATTTATCTTCTACAAAAATCTTGTATATTTTAAACCAATTCGGCATCAGAAATTTGCTAAATGTACAAATAAAAATGAGTAAATAACATTTTAGGACTAAACACTTTATTGTCACAATGTGCTTTGAAAATATTAAATTAGAAAAATAATTTTAAAAATCTGCATTAAAGTTTAAAAGACTTAAAACTCAAATATGCACACACACACACACACACACACACACACACACACATGCAAACATATACATGCACAAATCAGCTTGACTTAATCACTGTTTAATGTGCACACACAGTTTTGGGTTTAGCAATGACGTAAACAGTTTTATAGTTAAAGTTGAACATATTTTATTGTGTCGTATTTGTATAAACTACTCAACAGGAGGAGCATCTCGTGGAACACAGATCCACCGTTCTATCTGACCAAACTGTCAAAGCAGAACAGAATGAAAAATAAAACATGTATTTTTGGGTTCCCTCAGCGGAAAAATGGGGACAACATCCATTTATGAGAGGATATTTTTATGATGTTTTATAAAAGTGCATTTTTGTTAAAACAGAACGTTTATGGCTCTGAATCACTTCCTGTTTACTCCCAGAATGCCGCATCCTTCTGTAGCTCTTCTTTAAGTGAATCAAGTCACACGTTATCACGGTGAGGGTCGTTTCGTCTGCTTTCCTGTCTCTTAACTCTATTTCTTCCTTTCATACCTAAAGGTCTGAAAGCTTCGTGAGGCCACTAATGCTCTATGCCCTGCCTCCTCAGGTGAGGTGTTCTTTTGCTTTTCTGCAGACAAGCATAATATTACAGGTGCAGTCCTTGTTCAAGTAAGCTATAGTTTGAAAAATAACAATTTAACCCACTTTTTCAGAGTCACCCCTAGAATCTGATGGTTGCAGAAAAAAATGTTAAAACACTGGACACAATGGATAACGTAGAACAACCATGAAAACACAACTTTATCTCACCTTTTCAACCATTGTTTGCACTTTTTGTGCCATAATTCCTTATTTATTGTATTTTTTTTTCTTCCCCGTGTCCTGTCTGGCTTTGAAGCAAACAGAATTAACCCCCAGAGACCCACGGTTGTAATATTACAACATCAGATTTAAGTCTACAAAAATAAACCTTCCCCATTTTTTTTTCTTTTTGAAACCACATTTACATTGCTAATAGGTCCTATTGTTCAGTTCTGCAACACTATTGGCTGTTAAAATGTGTAAATAGGCCCGTTCATCTGGCCTCCTAGAACAACATCTGAAAGGTTAAAAAAGATTTTGCAGTTGTTTTCTAAATTTGGTTTTCTGGGGGTTAATGTCTGAATGCTGGTGACAAGCCTTCCAGATTTACTCTCAGGTGGAGCATCAAAGCGTCTGCTTTTAATGTCACGCCTGATACTTAAAACTTTATTGTTTTTTCTGAATGCTTGTAATTCCGAACAGACACGGAGACAGAGGTGAAAGAGAAAGGAAGAGACAAAGGGGGGGGAGGTCCCACAAAAATAAACAATCAATGATGAACAAGAGTCTGCTTCTAGACCTGTAGAAAAGGTACACACAACAATACAACAGGAGCAAGCTATCACTGCATCAACCTGATGACGAAATATGAGCTCAACATTGTTTTACTGAACAATCACGATAATAAATCACAGTGCATTAAGTGCCAACCACAGCCTTAAGACATGTGTTGAACGTGCCCAAGAGCCCAGGGACCCAGATCCCACCAGGCAGCCACCGGGATTAATCAGGCAGACGCTAAAATTCGTAAACCCCCTGACTCGGGAGCCACGAAGACTCAGGCAAACCAAGGCACCACACTCCACACCTAGTGTGGCAGGGAGGGGAGGCGAAGATGTATAGCATCAAAAGAAGTCCCAGGAGAGGGGAGGATTCAAAGGCCCAACCTGACATACAGTCATACATAAAAACAGTCACACCCTCCCTCCCTCATGCTCACATTGTGCCATAATTCCTAATGTAAGGCACCTAACGATCTAGAATGCTACAGTGTGGCGTTTTTGTGGAAAAACTAGGCAATTTTAAGCTTTCTTGATTTATTCATAACTTCAAAAATCACAGCTCAGTGTCACTGTCAAGTCCAGTTTGTGTGGAGCAGTAGGAACCATTAGGCAGGAACCATCGTGCGAGAATCTAGTAGCACTGGCACTGTAAAAGTGAAGGACAGCACTATGGGTGTGTCAGTGGCCCAGAGGATGCACAAAATTGTTTTCAGTTTGTGGAAAAACAAAAACACCTAAAATCCCAGAGAGGCAGCAGGTAAGATAAACTCCTATAATATTCCTTTGCTGCTGCTGTGGAGTGTCGATGTGTGATGTCACTGAGAGGGCGTGGCCCACAATGTTTATTTATGAAATTCTGCTGTCAAATGTTTGCTATTAAAATGGTGCGTTACTGCGCATTATTCTCATGGTTATTTGGGTTTAATTCAGGTTGGTTATTTTCCCCCTGGTTAAGACATAGAGGTTGTGTTTCAAGCTGTGTCGGATGATGACTTATTGATTAGTTTTGCTGAGATTTAGCATTTAGATCATATTTACTAAAGGAAAGGTGAGTGCTGGGCTTGCGTTTTTGTTATTTATGGTACATTATGGTTTCTTTTATGGGCGATCTGATGAACAAAGTAAACAAAAATTAAGATAACTTAGATTCTGCTGTGAGGTTTCTGCTACTAATGGGTAAATGATGAGATCTGACCTGTATTGATTCAAAAGTAGTATTGTATTAATGCAGTAGTTTGATCAAAAGCTGCTATTGTTCCCTAACGTTTGTTTTAGAGGCATTTCTCTTATTGCTTCCTGCTACTCATGACAAATGAAAGATGGAAAAAGAAGACATTGCAAGGTTAATAAGAAGAATTCAAGTAAAACGAGGGATTTTTATCCCTTTCAAGTGAGGAAATTACAGAGCATAATATTTTTACTTGTTTACTTTCAGATCCTGTGTAGTCGTTCACAGACTTGTTCTTTTTTCATTATTTCTCAACAACATCTATTTTAAATATTCATCTTAGTTTGAAATGTAACATTTTTATATACATAAGCTGTTGTGGATTGTCATGCACCATCTTGAAATACGGTAGCTGTTTAGGGACATAAAAGTTGTAGGGAAGGAGCTGGTTCAGCTTTGCAGGTTTGGGGAAATTCTGCCCTTTCCTCTTGGGTTGCTTGCACTGCTCCCAATGCACGTGACACATCTCTGCCTCTAAGTTTTATTACTCAACACATCTCTACATAAAATTAAGAACATTAAACAAATTAAACAAATGAAAGAATGGACCAGAGTGCTGGATTGAAAGGAGGAAGTCACTGATAAGAAAATGTCTTTTTGATGCATGTGGGCTACTGTAGCTGCAACATCTGAACCGTGTAGCGCTCTAGAGTCAAATTTCTTCAGACACTGGGGCTTTAAGTAGCTTTACAGCCACTACAATCTGGGACTTCCAAACAACTACAGGTTACAACTTCCCTTCCAACTTGCTTTTCTTTCTCCTCTAGGATGGCCACACACACACACACACACACACACACACACACACACACACACACACACACACACGTGCCAGCCGGCTGTGTTCAGACACACACTATACAGTTCACACTATACAGCTCCGTCACCTAAACATTTCCCAACAAGAACAGAACCAGACTCTAAACAGGACAAATCCTCAAACGAAAATCACAAATGACAGATCTAAATATTCAGTCCATTACTAGCTAGCCCAGCTCTGACTTTACTTCCTGTCCAGCTGCTCCAAGGTGAGAATGTGTGATTTGTACACATAGAGGCGTATGTGCAGAGGGGATCATGGATGTATGAATCATCATCCAATCTATAAGAGTGGGACGTTCACAATCATTGGAGATTTTTCCAGGACTGTACTTTTCAGGGGAAATTCATCTTTCTTTATTTACAAAACTCTTTTTTGTTTATTAGCATGTGAAGAGCATTTCATGCCAATTGGCAAAAGAATGCTCCAGAAAAACAGCCCCTGCTGCACTTTTTCATTCAAAAACTACTCTCTATGTGTGAACCCACATTAGATCAGTCTGTGTCGGGTTTGTATATTTGGCTCATTGGGGGGTAAAGTTATTTTTGTCCTCATTGTCCCATAAAACTGTGTTTTTTAAAAAAAAAAACTTGTTTACTTTTAAAGAAAACTATTGGCTTGTATCTCGAGTGTTTGATCTTTGTAGCCATCAAGAACAAATGTGCGCATTTATAGTAAATTCTCTAAGATAATCAATCATGAATGACTGAAATACAAACAGATATATACTTTTAGATTTCAAAACATAAGCATGGCTCAGACTAACAAAGTTGTTAGTCATGAAGTAGCAGGCATGCTTCTTGTTTGTCACTCTGCTAGAGCTGAAACAACTAATCGATTTAATCGATTATAATCGATTATTAAAATAGTTAACAACTTTTTTAGTCATCGATTAGTTGTTTAATAATCATATTTTACCGCATAAAGTCTATTTTTTACCACAATCTGACATCGGTTACAATCTGTTAAATTTGCCGCCAGTGTGTGGCAGTAATAAGCCACTGATCTACCAGTGGGGCCGTAGAAGAAGAAATTAGCCAATAAGTGCCCTCGGTTTTCATGACGTATCACGTTACTGACGCGCATCTTGCTGTGAGAGATGGCGGATCAACAACAAATACGGAAGAAAAATAGAAGCGACAAAACAAGAGAAACCCCGGACAAAAACCTCACGAGTATGGGAGCACTTCACTAGATGCCTTGAAAAGACCGGTGACCTACAAAATATGCAAAAACCATGGCACGACGGAAGCACGACGTCCCTAAGTGAACATTTGAGATGAAAACATGGGGGCTGATGCAGCAGAGGAAAGTCCGGTAAGTAACAGAAAATAAACAAGCTAACGCAGATCACATTTGGGACTTAGTGTTAGCTGAGTTCGTTATAGTGGATGTTAAACATGTTTTTTTTTTTTTTTTTTTTTGCCGCGTCAGTTTACGGTGTTCTACTTCTGATTGACTAGATGCAATCGTGAATCTCCTCCGTGTTGTGGCGCTTGCCAAATTTAGCACGTCTGTTTATAAGAATGTTCTCGTTAAGAGAAAAACGGCACAAACCCATAACTGTGTTCCTCATTCAAAAAAGGACAACTCCGCGGAGAAAAATATACAGACGAGCTGTGTCCAGGTGAATATAACGCGGCATAGTTGTACGCTTTCAATTTTTAAATACAGGAGAAATTCAGAAAGTCCTTTTTTTAACTATTAAGAGGCTGTTTTACTATCTAACGCTGTAAAACGCCTCACAACACATTTTTGTCAAAATAAATGATCACTGTATATTGTTAATTAATTCAAATAATGTAATATTGATTTAGTGTTGTAGTGTGTGTGCTGCTTTATTTTATATGTGTACTTAATTCAGTTTATTTGTTTCTTATGCAGAAAAAAACAAGCAACGATGGACAACTACATGGGGAACAAGACACTCACCCCCCAGCAATGCATACCACTTACAAACTCTATTCTAGATTCTACATTATTTTTTATGGAATTTACCTCTTATATTTTGATGCCAAAAAATTATTCTGGACTGATATTTTGCACTGTTTAGCTCATTTTACACTGCTGACTGTGGTCATGTGCAATAAAATAGATTGCAGTCAACTGCACAATTCTCTTATGTTTTTCTTTTTCTTAACTGAAATGTATTCATCACTTGTATAGGTTAAATAGCTAAACAATAACAAACCGATTAATCGATTAATCGAAAAAAATAATCGTCAGATTAATCGATTATGAAAATAATCGTTAGTTGCAGCCCTACACTCTGCTTTTCTCTGATGTTTCACGCTTCTATTTTTAATCCTGTGCTGATTGTGGATTTTACATCTTCACCTGACACGACTCTGCTTCGCCCCTTCATCCTTTATTTGCTTTAATGGATTGTGCCAGCGCTTGATGATGAGCGAATGTGTTTTTCTTTAAAAATCATGGTGGATGTCAGCTGCAAAATGAAATTATGAGAGGATGCAAGCCTTTCTAATGAGCTATAAGATGTTTGGATCACGGGTGTGGAAGCGTTTGCAAAACCATTTATTTTTCTCTATTCTGACATTCCTGTGGGAAACAGTCACTATTAGACTACCTGGTTTGTCGCACAAGTCATAAAAGTGCAGTAATCTCATTATCGCGCTCCATTCCTGCATAAAAACGTGTTTTATTAACTCCGACACTGACAGTCACCATTTAGAGGAGCTAATTCTGGCTCCGTCCTGCTCTGTGAAAGGAGAATATAAAGGTTACAAAGAGTGAGGCTGCAGCCAAATACGAGTCTTCCAAAATGTATCATGCAAACAAAAAGACAATCACTGCAATCTGTCTTCAGCTGCTGATCAGGGAAAGGGTAGTTTTGCACACTTAATGAGGGATTCTGTGATTGTTATGAAGGGGATTGCAAACAGAGGAGATATGTGCACACTCCTGCAAAGACTAGAAGAGAATCAGGAACTTACGTGACTCTACGTCCAGGTTGCATAATAATAATAACAATAACAATAATAATAATGTTGCTAACACACTTGCACAAATCTTTGGTTTGAATCAATTTAATGCAGGCATGAATCTCAAAATAAAACTGCAGCTCTTGAAAATGCAATCAGGAGAAAAAACATATTTTTTAAGCTATTTGGTTCTCATCATATTGAGAAAACATGCAGCAGTCCTGTTTTATGTAACTCTTATTCGCCATGTGAATGATCTTTGCTGATATGTTTTTATTTCCCAACAATAGATGCCAGCTTTGTTTTCCCTTTTCAGAATACATTAGGTTGTCGTCTGCAAATCTCTTCTGGAATGAGCCGCATTAAAATGACCTTTTTGTTTGAAAACAGCAAAATGAAATAAACATTGTTCTCTCTGTTTTCAGCAACATCAAACATGAACAAAGTATTCTCTCTTTCATATTGATTACCATTTGAGAAGAGGGTTGATAAGTGTTGAGAACCTGGCGCTGCAGGTGTGTTCTCTTTTGAGACTTTTTAATTGTTCTGTGACTTTCATGAATCTGTGTGAAGTGTTTCTAATCTGGCAGTATGCAGGACACCTGTTGATTAGCAGAAGAAACTGCTTGATTAACCAAATGGACAAGTCTGATGTGAATATAATCAGTGTTTGTGGAACAACGCTTGCGGCGCAAAACTGGCGTTCGAGAACAGACGGAACAAATATAATCAGCCTGCTTTAATACACACTTGCTCACTGATGTCATCCGAAACCCTACAGATGTCAAAGCATGCAGTAAGGAGATATCCATCGAAAGATGTTGAATGAGTGCCAGACAGTTCATGCAAAAATGCAAACTGGTGAAGAGCTGAAAAATGGTTCTGGAAGGGATGACTCCGTTCTTCGGTGCAAATACCTCAAGAGCAAGTGTCTTTATATGTTGCATAGAGTACCTGAAATGAGTTGAAGAAGAGTTCACAGTACATGCGGATCTCCCAGCTCGGTCCCTCAAACGTGTGAGGCATCCCAACAAAGATGATGTAGTGGATACCAAACACCAGAACCAGCACCAGGGTGGACTTGGCCAATTTTCTGCACAGATGCAAACATAAGTTGGTGTTTATGCATAATGCTGCAGGGTTTTTGCATTAGACGTCATAATTTATCTTAAAGGATGGCAGAAGAAAGTAGAACCTAATCCTAAACCTAACCGTTGTATCTTTGGAAAAATGATTTACTGAGATAGTTTTGTTAAATTTTGAGTTGGACTTAATAAACGAACCGTAATTGCTGTAGGCAGGTCAACTGGAAGCCAATTAATTTTATGTGCAGTAGATTTGGATTTACTTTTTTCAAAGCTGACATTTCTTATCTTGAGACGAGGATTCTGGTGCAAAAAAATTGGGATTTTCAGCATGTGACAAATGAAATTCCCTGCTGTGCAAAAGGAAACTTTTTTTTAGCTCAAGAGTTCTTTTCAGTTTGTTTTTACGTCATTAAGCCATACATATAGTTATATTTTTTTTGCGTGGGGGGGGGATTTAAAGTTCATGGGAACATTTGTTTGGAAATCTGATTTATAAACATTTGGTCTCTTGAAAGATCAGAAGATATTTTATCCCATCATATATCGTGCTTATGCTACTGCTTCTTAATCATTTAATAAATTATGTTTAATCATAAGTAATGAGGTTTTTAAGCTGGGCTTGTTTGTTTCATGGTTTTTAATCATTAATAAGTTAGTCACTTCATCTCTGTTGAGGCTCTTAGACTTAGAAAATCCATGACACCTGTCATGTCTGGTGCCTTTCTATAGCCTCCAGTTCACCGCCGCTGATCACCATCATCTGCTCGGAGAAACTATTCACCTCATCTGCATAAAAGGTCCTCGGCTGCAGCATTCAACACAGCTCTCCTCCTGGATGATGCACTGTAATTATTGTGTTTTTTTTCTGCGCTGACACCAACACCAGCAGGGAGAGAGAAATACGGATAATTGCAGATGTGAAAATGTATCTGTGGGTGGAGTTGTTCAGCCGATGTAATGAGGACAAGTTAAAGTTTTAAAACCGCAAATTAAGAATCAGGGTCACAAAATGTCCTTTCAGCGACTTTGGCTTGTGACATGAACTTTATTAGGGAAACACATTCGGCATAAAAAGTGTAGTAGTTAGGAAAGTTATAATTAATCGGTGCATGATGAATAAATAAATAAAAGGTTCTTTTTAGAAAATCTGCCTTTAAATATTGATGAACCAAAATCTTGCACTTTTCTTGCCACCCTGTTAATCTATAACGTTTCCACATGAGTGAGTAAAAGAAGACCTTTTCAACACGTGCACGTCCAAGGAAATTAATGCAGCATTCAATATTAAAAATGCATTAAGCATAAAACTTTGACAACCTTGTTCGTGTTGTCTGTCGGAGAAAGCAGCTGCTCTGAATGCAGGGACGTCTCTGTTCTGCCATGGAAGGAGAACCCTGATTGAGTCATTGCAAAATACGGATTACTGTTGTTTCCTGGAACTTTTGTTAAAACGTAAAGAGCTTTGCCTGAAATTTTTTCTCAAAACAATATAATCATTTCATATCATCTTATTTCAAGCAATATAAATATTCAGTTTTAGCTTGTGTAAAAATGTCAGGTTTGGTGGCAGAGCTGAAGCATGGCTGAGAAGGTCTGTTGCCCAGACGCGGAGTGATGGAGATAAACAGCGTGGTTATATCCTTTAGGTTAGGTTTGAAGGTTTGAAGGCTGGTAAGCCTGAGAACTCGATCCAAAGTCTGGTGAGAACGATGACAGAGTAATGAAGGAAACGCCGGCACTTCCGTTTATAGTGTCGGCGTGATGACGTCGGCGGCCACGTTGGTGGCGGGAATGTTGGGAAATTGAGTCAGCTGGAGGAGTTTGTGACAAAAATCTTAAAATTCCATGTTAGTTAAACTAAAAATATTTAGTTTCAGCCAGTGGAAAAACTTAAAATTTCTTGTTAGTTAAACTAAACGTATTTACTCACCGCCTGTGTAAAAACTAAAGTGGTATAAGGCAACGGGTTTCCTCGCAATTTGGGAGTAAAGTCAACTAATTCGGGTTAAGAGTGGTGCTGGTTTTGCAGATATGACTTTTTTTATTCTTCTTGGGCAAAAAAAGAAGATACGATGTCTAAAACGAGCTTATAAAATTTTTTGGGAGAATCCATTTTTTTGCTAAGATTAGAGCCGTTTTAAGACATCGGCTTCATGTCATCAAACTGAACCTTTGTGACAAACTGGACCAAAGAAAGTGACAAAACCAGCCGAGACTCCATCTGGAATTTGATTTGATGAAGGCAGAAGTAACGGGTCATTCTTCCAAGCCTAACTCCAGCCAGTGGATGCTTATACAAACCTGTACTTCTTTGGTATGTTCTTGCTGTGTCTGATTTCTAATTCCAATAAAAAAAGAGCCAAAAATGGAATTACAAACCTGTACTGTTTTCTGGTGTCGTATCTGCCTGCGTTGGTCTCTCTAAGCTTTGTGGCCAGCACTCGGACAATATTCACAAATAAAATGAAGTTGAGCTGAAAGAAAAACACAAAAACTGTTATTAATTGAAAAACAATGCTTTAACCACTATCAAAAAGCTCTCAAGCATCAATCCTTGAAAGTTATATAAATGTTATAATAAAAAACAAATAAATATTTGAGGAAGTCGGCACGTGACCATACGTCTCCAACAGAACCGTACATGTTGAAATACCTTTGGATAAACCCCAAGAAACAACGGCGAAAGTGTGACTGATGAAAATGGTGTAAAATGTTTTATATAAGAGCAGTTTATCAAAAAAAAAGTCTAGCATGCAATGAAACCAGTCTCCAGTGAATTTAGCATCTAGGTTTTTGGACTGTGAGAGGAAACTGAAAATAGAAATGCAAAATAAAAAGGCTCCATTTGACTCGAAGCTAGAAACCGTTTGTTGTTATAGGATAATTCACCACATTTAACATAAATATTCCAGCCTTTCCTTGGATAACCTGGAAAACCCAACTGGTCTTTCTACATAAATGCTGGCAGTAATTAGCATCTGCAGGAGATGTGTCTAGTCGCTGCTTGTTGTCGACCCACGTAAGCGAAGACGACTCAAATCAGAAGTGGCCGTTCAACAACTGTGTAATTTATTCATAGTTTGCTTATTAACTCAAAGCTTTTGGGAAAGTGGCCATCCTAGCAAGACATTAAATAGAAGTTTTTTACTTCATCGTTTTTATTCATTTATTAGTTCACAACTCGTTTAAATACTGAAGGACTTTTAATCCTTCACAGATCTCTGTTTTCCTTCTTGTCATGAGAAGCATAAAAGTTTAGACAATTTTAACATTATTTATTGACAACAGTGGGTGTTTTACCTCCGTTTTTGATGCATATAAAAATGTTTTTGTGTATCTGTGCATATTTTATCATTTTAAATGTAACATTTATGTCAAGGGGATTAATCTGCCTACACACAGTCTGTTTCATATCATCTATTTACAGTGTGTGCATATTTAGCAGAAGGAAGTTTTATTTTGAACACCTGGTCTGTATAATTCCTCTGAACAGGAAACATGAGTCAGATTCATAATTTATTTATTTTTTCCACTTTGTCTTCTTCAATAAAACGTGAGCTAAGCTGATTCATTGTGGAGAAGCCTGAAGGGAAAAGCTGAAAAACAAAGGAGAATTTAAAAACTGAGATAATCAGAAAGTTCTTCATCAAGTCTAAGGATTTTCTGAGGTTAGTTGTGTTCGTAACATTCTTTATATCTCCTTGTTTTGGACTTGATGCTGTCTGCATATGAAAGCTCTCATCCACTCATTTGCATGAATAAATGCCTTGTGAATCAATCTCTGTCGGGAAAAAAGCTCTGGCGCTCCTGTTTCAGGAAGTGGAAGTTAGCCGGAGGAAAAGGAAGGGAGAAAACTGGCATTTGGAGTCAAGATCATTAATATTTATGATATTGGAACATCTTGACTCTGATTGGCAAACAGCAACATGACTATACCACAGATTATCTCCACAAATAACACAAGTCTGGAGGAGTTCTGCTGTGTGGTGGAGTTGCTAATGCTAACAGTTAGCTTCTACTAGCTGTGATGTGCTCTGTTCTCCCTTGGATGCTGAATCAACAACAGCCTTCCCCGATTCTGAGGCAAGATGTGTGAGTCCATGACAGAATTATTATTCATGTTTTCAATTTTCATGTTTTATGCTTTTATTACAAGTAAAGATTGTTTCATTTATGCTTTCATTGCAGTTAAAGAATGTTTCATTTGTCATGTTTTATGCTCAATGATTTTACCATTTGAATGCTTAAACAGTTGCTGTATTGTAAAGTCCCCTCATGAGACTTTAAGGGTGTTAAAATCTGACCTAATGTGACCCAAGGATGACCTGTGGAGATCTGCTGTTCTGTCAATTGCTGACTCGTGCAAACTGTTTGCTACTCGTCGTGTGATTAGACACTGAAAGTTCTTTGTGTAATAATGAATACTCTGTTTTAAACTTGTAGCAATTTAGGACTGAGAGATGTGTTTCCCCCCTCCCTTAGCTCAGCTCTCAGGCATGTAACTAGGGAGCTCCCAAAGAGGTGCTCGGATTTCAAAGGCCAGAATGGTTTGGAGGAACTGTCGGCTCAGTGGAAACTGAGTTGGTGTGGCCTTATTCCATTCTCCTCGAGCTTAAACAGAATTCTGACTTTTGTGTCTCCTTCCTTGTGTTGTGTTGTTATATGGTGTCTTAGGTGCTTAAACCTGACAGTCCACAAATACTAATTTACAGTAATCCCTCGCTTCTTCGCGGTTCGTTCATCGCGGATTCGCGGATTTTTCTTTGGAGCATTTTTCAGGGGGGATTCACAGATTCGCGGTATTTTTCTATGCGAAATATCACGAAATTCTTGTTTTTTTTTCATCAATTTCATCATAAAATGCACTTTTTGTAATAAAACTAAAAAAACCAAGTAAAATTTTTTTTTTCTTGAGTTTTACCCACAAAAAGAGAATGTGATCATACGATAATTAAATATAGTACTGTATGTCAGACAGGTCGGCTGGATTCGGGAGTTCTTGTAGGGAGCGTGGTTTCACAGACGCGGAAGTGATAGCGTTGGTGAAACGCCGGCTGATCTAGGAAACCCCCGAGCGTTCGAGCGTCAACGAAGTGACACGGAAATGCCGGGCTTTCCAGAAGTAAGTAAGATATCTTACTATGAGCTGATAGTTCGTTGGATTGATCAGTAGGTTGGAAACTCTGATCATGAATCTGAAGAAACGATGACTGAGTGGTGAGCTGGAAACGCGACTTCCGTTTATAGCCGCGGTTTGTGACGTAGGTGCGACGTTGAGGGAATTCCCGCGAGGGGCATGCTGGGAGTCCCTACTTCGCGGATTTTCACCTATCGCGGCCAGGTCTGGAACGCATCTACCGCGATAAACGAGGGATTACTGTACAGTGTGACGTCAGTCTGTGTGGCTTTGTCTAATCTGAGCGATCAATGCAGAAAATAGGGGTAGAAGAGGGTATTTTCACGTTCAGCACATTCAGTGGTCCTAACCCTCATCTGTACCTTACCATGACTGCACAAAAGTAAAAAGACTGCAGTTTTCTTTCATGCAGAAGTAACAAATCAGCATATTTTACTTTGAAAAGGGCCAATAAAATGGTAGAAAATAGTATTCAATGTAATAAATTGCAACTGAAAGGTAAAATGAAGCATGACACATGAAAGGATGTTTTCATCAGTAGCTTAAATATCAAGAACGCTGGGAAAGTTGTGTCAACAATAAAAAGCCTAAAGCAAGGTCTGTGATGCAGTATTAAAGCACAGAATGAAATAACACTTTTAAAACAAGGTGCTGCCTTCAGGGCTACCTTTTGTGTTCTGGACATCTTTCAGAAAAACAACAAAATCCACAGTTTGCTGATAGTTTAAGTCATCAAGAAGAATCTGCAATTCTGACCCAGAATAAACACGAGAGTGCTACTTTGCACCATTAAATGAAAAATAAGACACTTAATGCTCTCAATACCAAAAAGACTCATTATTAGAGTATTTTCCTCATCACGTTAATCTGATTTGAAGGTATAATGAAAAAGGTCAAACTTTTAAACAATTATATTAAAAAATGACTTGTTTTTAAAGTGCTTACCCCTATTGCTGTCAAGATGGGTACCTGGTAAATCCATTTAATGTTGCCAGCACTTAACTCCCAGCATCTGATACAAAAACAGAAAAAATAAGAAAACTGAAGAAATAAATAGTAATTTGACAAATAACTGAATTATGTGATAATAAAACTGAAAAAAAAGTATTTATTTTGCATCAACGGTCCACAACACACATAAAAAATAAACAAATTATTTAATCCTCAGCAGAAATTAGCTGCAGTTTCATGTTTTTTTTCCCAGCAGACCTTTGGTGTTTTTGCCAATTAAACGTGGATGAAACTTTTGACAACACTTGCCTCCGAGGCTTCCACCTGTTGCTTTTATTCATAATTGTGTGGCAGATTAAATTATTTATGTTTAATAAGATTTCACCAATGACTCAGATGTCTCAACAATTAGCCACAAATCACTCAGTCTCATTTAATCTATATAAGAGATACATTTTTAGCGCCTTTTAATTATTTTAATGCATGAGTCATCGTACCTTGCATCTGCCAGCGTCAACCTGACAACTGCCCATAACGCCACGAAAACAGCTGGAACACCTGCAATCACGTAAAAGAGCGAGATGTAAGTCAGAGAAATGTTATCTGATGCAACTCTTCTTTTTATGTGGAAATTTAAATGAACAATACAAGTTTGTCTCAACAGAAACACTTGTGAGGGTTTAGCATTTTTTTTTGTTATTTTTATAAATGAAAGCAACTGAAATTTGGGAGTTTGAATGTTTTTGAGTGTGTAAGACATTTGTTTTCAACAATCCTCACAAACTGGCTGCGTGTACTACACACATAATTACCCCATCCACCAGCCTCGGCACCTGTCACATCTGAGGAGAAGCAGCAATTTCAACATTTTTACTTCCAGATGAGGCAAAGTGAGGATGGAGTTCTCTGTCCCTGAGAGGATTTTGTGTTCCTCTCCTGTAGATTGTCAGAATTACACAACGGGATCCGCTCTTTGTTCAAAGACAAGCGTGTTGCTCTTGCCTGCAGAGGATGCAACAAATTCACACCTACTGTGTATTTAGAAAAGTCAGTTGTTACACAAACTTAACTTAGCAAAGAAGTATTCGTTTTTAACTGTTTTTTGTTATTTTATTTTATTTTTTTGCTTTGTAAGGTTAATTACATGTGATGAAAATCAGGATATAAGAAGCAAAAACTGGTTCAAGCATCTCAGAGGACAACACCAGGACCTATCTAAAAATGCATTGTCATTTAATTATTTTTGTATCAAACGTCTGTTAACTATAAGTGTTGTGTATTTGCATTTTCCCTGCAAATAGTATAGTTGGACCTTCAGTGCAAGAGGTGATCAGGAAAGTGTGGATTTGTTGAAACCAAAATCATATTTTTTTTATTTCCTGCAGATCAGCATGTGCTGTTCAAAGGTCTCATTCATTGTTTTTTTGTTTGTTGCTTTGTTTGTTTTTATCTGCCATGGTCTCTAGTATGAATGACTGCCCTGTGAGTAGTTTTCATTGATAAAAATCTCTGGCTCTCATGTTAGAGGGGGGTAGAAGTTGGTTTGGAGGAGTTGGGGGTGGAAAACAACAGGTTTTACACTGCAAAAGCTTCTAAATGTAAAGCCTAGTTTTTATATATGTTATCTTATTTTAGTCTATCCAGCCATTCATCCATTTTCTTAACCCGCATTTCCACGCCAGGTCGCGGGGGTGTTGGTGCCTATCTCCAGCTGTCTTCGGGCTAACAGGCGGGGTACACCCTGGACAGACTGCTGGTTCATCGCAGGGCAACACAAAGACACACAGGACAAACAACCATACACACACACACACACCTAAGGACAAGAGAGAATCCAATCAACCTGACAGTCATGTTTTTGGAATGTGGGAGGAAGCCAGCGTACCCAGAGGGAACCCACGCATGCACAAGGGGAACATGCAAACTCCTTGCAGAGGGACCCCAGGACCTCCTGGGTTAACACGCCAAGGCGCCTTCTCCATATCCACAAAACACAAATTGGTTGGGCAAATTCCCACACACCCTCCAGGATCTCCCTAAGGGTATAGAGTGGGTCCGGTGTTCCACGGTCAGGACAAAAACCGCATTACTCCTCCTGAATCCAAGCTTCAACAAAAAGTAGTTGTTGACAAAAGATAATAAATAAAAATTCTATGAAATTTAACCAATGAAATTCAGACATTGCTTTTCAACCATGCGTCCAGGAGACAACATTTCAAAAGTCCGTAAACTGGTTTCTACTGCAGATCTGGAAAAAATCATCCATGCCTTTGTGTCATCATGCTTAGACTACTGTAACGCTCTTTTTACTGGTCTCAGCAAAACCTCCCTCTCATGCCTTCAAGCCTTCCAAAATGCAGCAGCCAGACTCCTAACCAAATCCAGCAGACGAGCTCACATCACCCCAGTTTTACAGTCCCTCCACTGGCTCCCGGTAGAATATAGAATACAGTTTAAAGTTTTAGTCCTGACCTATAGAGCTCTTAACAACCAGGCTCCAAGCTACCTATCTGAGCTTTAATCCCCACACACCACCTCCCGGAACCTTAGATCCACATCTGAAAACCTCCTGGCTGTTCCTCGAACCAGACTGAAAACCAAAGGGAACAGGGCCTTTCAGAATATTGCACCCAGACTTTGGAACAGTCTACCTTCAAATCTCCGTCTCTCTAACACTGTAGAGGTCTTTAAAAATCATCTAAAAACTCACCTTTTCATCCAGGCGTTCCCTCCCTAAATGTTTCAAAAAGATGGCTTTGTTCAGGTTCACACCTTCACTTTGTTTATACTCATGATTTAATTTTCTACGTTTATCACTGCTATTGTTTTTCTGATGTTTTTATTGGTTAGAGGTATTTGCCCTGATCTTTATCATGTTGTACAGTGCTTTGTGATTTATATCTGTGAAAGGCGCTCTATAAATAAACTTTTACTTACTTACTTACTTACTTACAACAGAAAATGTCTTGGCTAGCAGAAGCTAACTGTTCGCATTATCCTGAGTATGTCTTACAAGGCATTTATTCCTACCAGAGAGCACTGCAAATGTGTCGATTAAATGGGTTTCCCACACCTTTAAAAACAAGGCGCTGATTATTACATGCAGTTTTGGTTTGATGTCCGTTTACCAATAACTTTTGTTAAAGAGGATTTATCCCAAAAATATTTTTTTAAGTTGTAAAAACTACAGTGTGATCAGCTGAGGGTTAAAAAAGGCATTGTTTCCAAAATCCATAACACGAATGCTAACAATGCAGAATAAATCACATTTTATGAGTTTGAACATTCAGCTGCTTTAACAAAGTCAAGGAAGCTGAAGCGATGAGAGTCTGACTGAAGCTAAATCCTTACCGTCATCTTCTCAGGGGGCTGCCTAAACGTAGCAGCTTCATTACAGTGAACATAACTGTTGAGTGAAGCTTTAATGGACTGATAAGTGCTCCTCCGCCTTTCAGTATACGTTCTGCAAGTGAGAGATGTTTAATTTAAGCCGTTTATCTTATCTCTACCTCCAAAGGGAAAATTGAGAAAAGATCATAATGACAGTGTGAGAGACGAGGCCGAGTTCAGGGACGTAATTGTGATCTTATCGATCATGAGTATTTATGTCACTCAGGTTTGGCACTTCTTTAAGGCTCTAAGTGTTTCAGCCTTAACACGCGATTAATGTTTAAATTTAAAGCCGTTTTTGGCACCTTTGTGTCTAAATAACTAATTTTCAGCACGCTTTTAGATATAAATGACTCTTGACATTTGAATATACTGATGGTGTTTATAGTATGTTTAAGGTGATGATTTCTATAAAGGTTTCTTGTCGAAGAGGTTTTCCACACCGCGAGACGGTTCCCCTTATAGCATATTTCATCATGTCAGCTGAATAACACTACCAAAATGTGGGAAAATGTTTGCTCGCAGCTCAGATGCGCATGTGTTAATACTCTACATGCAAATAAGAACAAAAAAAGAACGAATTTAAATTTTTTTCATTACAAAAACCTGTCTAGGCAAAATGATGGAGGGATCCAAATGCATGCAAGGCCTCAGAGGCAGGTGGATGATGAAATTATTCACTTTTATTTACCAAATATAAAGTACCGCTGAGGAAGGGAGAATAATAAAAAATATTATAAAAGGAACTGAAAACAAAAACATGTGGCTGACAGGAAATGGCTACAAACAAAAAATGGGAACAAAAACACAAAAAGAGAACATTGTCGCTTTTACTTTTAGTCTCTTTATCCTATTAAAACCTGCCCTAAAATTTATGAAAAAATAAATTTTCCATTATTATAACTTTAATAAATGTAATTAATTTTGTGTTAGTCCAACTTTCTCCCAAATCTCAGAAATAATACAGTCGCTGGGATTTTTAGGTGATTGGAGAATAAGTAGGGAAGCATAGAGCTGCCACCCACGCAACATGAAATTAGAGTGATATCAATGACATAACATTGATTTATTGTTCCAACAATATAACTTTCCCATTTGTACAATATAGTATAAATTTTTTACAATTAAATGCTCATATTTGCCCCGCAACCCTAAGCGGGTATAGAAAATAATATCAATATTTATATTGTATAAACAATATAGGTTGAGCACTCAGGTGAGGTTTTCTTTAAAGGTGCAAAATAAAAAACTTCACACTGAAGTTTTGACACAAAAACATTGTAAGAACATAACAACATTTGGCACAAACGTGATAACATGTTGTAAGAACGTGAAATTTGTATTAGAATAATAAAGTTAAGATGTTATAATATAATAATGCTCAAAATTTATTTTGCGTGGGTGGCAGCGCTATGCTTCCGTAGGGCCGTGTGGCGTTCACGTGATGTAAAGAGTGCTTCAGACTTCCATTTCTTACCCCATCCTATGAGTATGAAGCCCCAGAGGTATTTGGAATCTGATCGAAATGCCATGAAGATGAGACTGTGCAGGTAGAGACCTTCAACCAGGATCCAGTAGTAGTTTGTGGCCAGGAAGTAGATGAAGAGCAGCACGGTCACCTTGCATCCGATCTAAGAGTAGAGCATTCACACTTGTCATGTCCCACTTAGGTCTGTTTTATCCTGCCGAAGTTGTTTTTTTACCTTTGTGTTGACCCGTTCTAACCTTTTGTATTTCATAAGGTTTTTCTGCACCACAGGTGTCGTGAAGGAGGAAAGATCTGATGGCATTTATTAGAAAAATGCTGTGTGCATTTGCATAGAAGTGTACATAAATACACTAGCTCAACCAGAAAATGCTTTGATCTAATAAAAGACTAAATATGAAGCGAATATGTGACTCCAAGTGATGAAAATTTAAAAGTAGATAAAAACGCTAATTTGAGCGGAGGAATTTAAAGATATGGATGGAGGAGTCAACAGAATGTGTTTTGATTGTAGCTTATGGAGAGGCATTTATTTGCCACCATAGTCATACACAGATTGTGTGATTAAACCGCTCTCCAGCTCCTACCGAGTGATCCCAAGTCATTCCCTAGTCACAGAGGCTATGTAAGCCCTCCATTGAGCTCTTGGTCCCAGTGGAAATGTTTAAGCTTGCAGGAAGAGATTTGATGCAGAGGTGATAAAATACATCAACGAATAAATACTCAGTAGCCACAGACACGTATTCCCTAAGGTGAAGACACACAGCTGAAGCTTTTCACACGAACCCGCTGCCATAGAGACTGACTGCTGCAGAAATAGACCTGTTGGTTTTTATACTATCAGCGTTTGTCGTTTCCACATTATACTGTGATGTGAAAATGATCACTGGTAAGAAAAAAAGAATAAAAAGATTTACATAATGATGTGAACCTGAGCTTTAATGCTGATTTATTCGCTTGGTTACATGAAGGAGCAGCCATCTGTTTTCCCGTTTCTGATGTTTACCGTTTGCATTTAAATAAGTTTGTTTTGTGTATTTGTATAAAAATCACACAAAGCAACATAATTCTATAGGTTCAAGGAATAAATCAACACAGCGCTGCAAAGTGTCTTAACTTGTTTTTATTCAAATAATAAATGCAAAGGTCCCACTTTAAACTGTGCTTTGCTTACTTTTTGTTATTTTATCATTGTTGTGTGAAATGCTGACATTGCAGAGTTGGGCTCCACGTTGTGTTCAGATTTAAAGGAAAAATGTTTTTCCAGGAGTTTCTATGAAATATGAAACTGGGAATTGATTAAAGTAAGGAATAAATACTGTATGTTGGTGAAAATAAGGAAATCTACCATATGAAAAGTGCAAAGCATCAATTTAAAAAAAAACTTTTAAATCAGGAAAAAGTAAGATTCCATTCAGGTTTTCCAGAAATCAAACATTTTTATTTAGATGACTCAGCATTTTTACTTTTCCATTTAGAAACATCTCAAAAGGCAAAGATTCAAAGCTCTGGGGCCTCATTTATAAAGCTTGCTTACACACAAAACGGGGTTGGAAAACTGTGTAAGCAACTTTCCACGCAAACTTTGGGATTTATGAAAGAAAACTTGGCGCAAAAATGTGCACAACTTTAAGTTGACTAAGGACCTGGCTTACGCATATTTTGGACGTGGAGAGCACCTGCAGTGCTGCTGCTGAGAAGGATAAAATTATGAAATCCTGCAGCATTATCACTTGTACCGCTTCGTTTTCACACAGAACAAGACCGTCCACACATGCGCGTACACACATGTGCACGTGCGTGCACACACACACACACAAACACACACACACAGCCTGAAGCGCAGAATACAGAATGCAGAATATCAGCAGGGGGACATATTGAGACAGAATGTCATGTGTCTGTGACAGTGTGTGTCCTGTCACTGTGACCCGATTGATCATGCGCCCTGGCTACTTCAACAGGGGAGATCTCTGTTTGGGTGACTGGTTAGCGTGCGTGATTTTCACCCGGGAGTCTGGGGATTGAATCCCGATTGGACCATGTTTTTATATCCGCCACAGATCTCTCTGAAGAACTCACAACATTGACGGCTTCAGCAACGCTGTGCCACCCCGTGGATTTTCTCTTATTTGTTTTGCAAAAGCACTTCCTTTCATTTCTCCACCTCACCTACAAGTTTCTGAATTTCTGCTTCTGTGAAATTGCGCTTTCTTGATCTGCCTTGATCTACGGTCGCCATGTCATTGGAGGAGCTCTGCAACAGCCGGCTTATGTATTTGCATGAGATCCACAAGGCACGTTGCATTGACTATTTATGGCAGTAAGTGGGCGTGGTGAGGGTAGGATGTGACTAAAATGCAGCTGAGAAACATTCACCCAAGGTTACTTAAAATATGTGCTCCAAATGTTAAGATTGCTATGTGCAAAATGTTTTATTTGTTTATTTGTTTGCTTATTTGTTTATTTATTTGTTTGTTTGTTTATTTATTTGTTTGTTTATTTATCAAATCAAATCAACTTTATTTATAGAGCGCTTTCACATGGCCAGAATGGACAAACAAAGCGCTGTACATCAATAAAATGCCACACAATAGGACAGAGATATGACCATTAAAATACATTAATAAATCCATTAAAATACACTAAAAAATCCCTGTAAAAAACTGTAATAAATCCTATAAAAATACAATAAGAAATCCATTTTAAAATACAGTACAAAAACCTGAGTGCCAGTTCACAGTCCATATCCGGCCTACTTCCCCCAACTTCAACGTCCAAAAGCCAGCGAGAACAGATGTGTTTTCAGTCTTCCTTTAAAGGTTTCTAATGACTTGGCCTGTTTTACATCGGCTGGCAGCTCATTCCAGAGACTTGGTCCAAGTACTGAAAAAGCTCGACTACCACGAGACTTCAGGCTGTACCTAGGCACAGTTAGTAATCTCTGGTCAGCTGACCTGTGTAAATTCCTAGTTACACTGCTGGTGAAGGTTTTCAGTCATCCAGGTCATGGTAATCCAAAAGGGTTCAAATGAAGGCAACTGGACTTCTTTGGTTTCTTGAAGACGTTTCGCTTCTCATCCGAGGAGCTTTTCCAAGTCTGACTGGAATATCGGAGAGTAAAGCTTATAAATTTTAGCTGTCTGTTGTAGTTTAACGGGCTGAAACTACATTTGAATACCCCACCTCCCTACATCCTGATGAGGTGTTGATGTTTGGTGCTATTGTGTTATAATGGCAGTATTGATTAGAAGGCGGGGGGTGTGACCTAGACTGAAAGTGTTTTGGAATTAGGGTTAGAGGTGCATTATGGGAGCTGGAAAGATTAGACCTGAACCCTCCTCTTCTATAGGTTTTTCACATTTGACATAGATAGGGACCAGCAGTAGCTAAGGAGGTAGAGTGGGTTGTCCAGTAATCGAAAGGTTGCAGGTTCAATCCAATTCAACCTGAGAATGCTGCTGTTGTGTCCTTGGGCAAGACACTTAATCTGCCTCGCCTGCTGGTGTATGGCAGGCCCTGCCTCTGTCAGTGTGCCCCGGGGCAGCTGTGGCTACAACATAGCTCATCACCACAAGTGTGTGAATGTGTGGAAGAATGGGTGAATAAATGATTGTCTTGTGAAGCGCCTTTTTGGGGGGGGGGGGGGTTGTAAAACCCTAAGATGGCGCTATACAAATGCAGGCCATTTACCATAGCTTCCTTTACTCCAAACCATCTATCTTCTCTGTTTCACTGCCTATATTGCAGCTCTGAACCTCATTCCAAAACAGTTTCAATCTAGGCCACACCCTCCTGTATCTAATCAATAGAACAATTCCCACACAATAGAAGCTAACGTCTTCAATGAGTGTGTTTACATGCAGCCAGTAACACTTTTAAAACCTGAATATTCACAATAACCCGGTTCCGCAGGTCCATGTAAACACCGCCAAAAACCCGGATATGCTCATAACCGGGTTTTTAAAAACCCGGTTACTACACCTGGGGTAACCCTTTTCTAACCCGAATGTTTGGTCGTGTAAACGCATAACGGGATATCCCCATCAAAGCGTGTGTTCTGCACATGCTCTGTTCGCAAGGAATCTTGATCTTTTGAGTAGCGAGACGTCTTGTATGCACCAGAACACCGGAAGTAAACAACAAGTTGGGAGCAACATGGCGAGTCGCGGCACAGCACCACACTTTTGGAGTGATGAGGAAACTAAAGCGCAAACAAACGCGGTCGCTATCTCTTCCGAACTGGGAAACATGTTGTTGTTTTCACGGATACCGGAACAAGAAGAACCGGAAATGACGCATATTGCGTCTGGACGTAGTCCATACGTCCTGACACTACCCCAACGTCCGCATTTATATCGGGTTATGCAAGTTAGAGGTAACTCTTTCTATTTATGCTTGTAAACGGGTTATTCTGATCAACTCTGTAACCCGAATACCGACCTTAACCCGATCATAACCCGGATACTGGCTGCATGTAAACGTAGTCAGTGACTACTCAGGGGCAGGGAGGAGGGGTATTCATATGTAGGTTCTGCTTGTTAAGCATATCCCAGTCAGACAAAGTTCCTCGGGTGAGAACCAAAACATCTTCAAGAAACTAAAGAAGGTCAGTTGCCTTCATTTGAGAGCCTTTGGATTTGCTAGTTATACTATTTTTATTTTTAGCAAATTCATAACAAAGTAAGTTGTGTGAGTGTGTGATTTTTAAAATAAAAATAAAAAACTAACCTCTGGCTGATTGCATTCACAATGCAGATCCCCTGCTAATGTCAATAACTCTAATTATGTTGGGTAAAATGCTTACAGTACATTAATACATGCTGCTTGCAGGAATTAAGCAGTGCTTAAAAAGGTCAACAAGAAATATCAATGGCAAATACGTGAATGGATTCGTGTTAGCAGGGATTTTTTGATGAGTTAATGAAATCAGTTAACAAGTCTGATTCATTTTCTGTTTTATTTTGCATCATGTTATTGTCACAGCTTCTCTTGTGTGTTTTGGAGAGAGTGTGATGCTTTTTGAGGATGCACAGAACCAGATATTGTATCTATTACAATTTTAGTGTATAATAAGAGAGAAGTACAGCATGATCACTTACATACTGAGACTTGTCCAGTGATGCAACACTGACTGTTTTCACGTTGTCCAGCAGTGCTGAGTCAAAGTCTTGCAATCCGGCACTTGAATAAACAACTTTGTCCTTGACAAAGATGCTGACGGCTCGCAGCATGAAAGACACAAACAGGTGCATGTGGATGTAGTTCCTGGTGCAGTGAAGACGCCTGCAAAGAAAACAGATTTTACAGGACGATAGTTACGGTGCTCCCTCGAGAGAGAGAGAAAGAGTTAAATCAGCATTTCTGCAGAGGGATGAAAACCAGGAAAATAAATCAGAGGAGAGGAAACTCAGAGAGGGAGACGCGTTGACGCCAGAGTCAAATGAGGATGTGACTCTGAAAAATTCTGCATGCTGACCTCCATCAAAATGACTCAGTTGCACCCAAATTATTTAACCAAACTTAATGACCTCTTTTGTTTTCAAAATGTATCAAATTTTTCACCTTTGCAGACTGATGAAAAAGAAAGTGCTTCATGTTTTATTTTTATTTTTTTAATAAAATAGAGATTGTCAACGTGAAGGCCCACCTAAAGAAAGCAATCTTAATGGACACGGGATCAATAGAGGTCATCCAGAAAACGGCATCTCAGCCTTCTCTGTCAGTGAGGACAAGCTGCAGAATCCTGCAGGACATCTACAAACCATCATCCTAACGAGAGCTGTAACACAAAGCGTTAGACATTTCTTTTGTTTCTAATGCATGGTGACCTAGCGGCGAAGAAGCTGTCAGTGGCTTTGTATCCCTCCCCTCGTTAGAAGTAAAAGGCTTTGGCTTTGACACGTTGTTGTGCTTGCAGAATTTTTATATTAGAAACCAGCAGCAGCACCTCTGCACGCTGAGCAGTCCCCTTATTGTGCGAGACTTGCAGCCTGTTTGTTGCTCTCTGTGATTGCAGAAGTGAAGAATCTGTTAGGCAGAGCTGTCCTTCTAGCCAGGGCTAATGCTGCTGTTTGGAATAGCGTCAAAGGACTAACCTTCAGTTTGACGACTAGCATACTCAACCTCTTCAGGGTTGAAAACGATGTGAATCTTTAAACTGAACAGCCACCTGCACTGCTTTAGTTTTTTATTGATGAGGAGCTAATTACTCTGCATGAGTCTTTGTCTACTTAATTTACGATTGTTTCTGTGACTTTCTGAGAATCGTTCTACAATCCCTTAAAACATTTAGTTGCAAGTGGCATTAAAGTGGGACGAGGCAGTTTTGGCTTGCTTGTAGCACCCCCTAGTGTCTGTTTGTAGAACCGAAAGCAAATCCTATCTCCTCGCTGTGCGTTCAACTTTTTGCCACCTTAAACAAAAAGCTGAGATGTCTCCCAGCCTTCATCAATCAAGCTAACAAGGCGGGTCTTTAAAGATGATTTAAAAGTTTCCAGTGAGGCGGCTTTGTGTGCCGGCAAAGTTCCATAGTCTGGGAGCAGCAACAGCGAAGGCCCTGTCCCCTCTGAGCTTACGCTCTGTCCTTGGAACATCCAGGAGCAACTGATCAGATGACCTGAGCGACCGAGAGGAGGAGTGAATTGTACCATTTTCTCTGCTTTTTAGATGGGAACAAAGTTCAAATGGAATCACTGCCTCATCATGTTGAAGTTAGGGTTAGTGTAATGATTCTAAAATTATTGAATTTTTTTTATTGTCTTCAAATTAGCAATTTTGCTTTTGAGATCAATAAATATACAGAAATGTAGTTTAACTTTTTTTATTTAAAGATAAAGATGTCTCATCAAAGGAAAAGCTCAAATAAAACCCAGAAAAATTTTAACACCTGAAAATGTTGGCCTCAACTCATTGTTCAACGTACCTTTCTAAAAAGGTAAATGCTTCTCTTATTCATCTGCAAAACATTCACATAACATGAAATCCAGACTAAAATGTTTATTTTAATTAGATTAAATAGAAATGGGCATTCTACTTGAGTTTACAAAGTTCAAATAAGTACACAGGACTAGGCAATTATGTGTGGGAGTGATTAATGCATACAAAGTAAAATGCACGTAAATATAAGTTACTAAAACCAAGACAAAGTACTACAAATGTTTCCTTACCGTTTACTACCGCTAAAGTAAAAACTACTCAGAAATACTGGTTAAGTAAGATGATGTCTAAATACTTTGTTCTAGTTTGTTTTGGTTAAAGCAACTTGGATCCTTTTATTTAGAAATTATGTGGAGCTCCAACACTTAATTATCGTGTACCTATAATTTAAAGTGCCGTCAGTTTGCATGCATTTTTCAAGTAAACTGAACTAATAAGACTTTAGAGTGCATATGCTTGCCAGAAAACTCATAGATGTCTTCTCAATGAGACTGGCTGCTTTGATTACATCTATGGTATAATTTGTCTACCACTATGGTCTATTAGCACCAGATTCTGATTACAAAACCACTTTATTTGGACTTCCATTGCAGAACTCTCTGGATGCCCTTTTCTGGCATTTATCTACAGAGGACTTCTCCATTGTTTCAAAAGCAGGCTGCAGTACCACTTTGTGCAAAGAGAGAGAGAGATGCACTGAGTGACAAAAACAAAGAGCTGCCAGTTTAAAATCTAAGAGTTTCAAATGTCACACCGTTTATTTTTTCCACCGACTGGTTCAGATCTGCATCAGCCCTGGGAGCGAGCACAAATCTCAACGCGGTCTCCGTGTTTGTTAGCAGCTTTTGTCAAAACCTGCATGGCTGTCCGATGTTAAATATTGTTTTGAAAATCTTTCTGACACCTTTCTGAAAGTATTAGAAAATTTCAAAGTTTAAATTATACACATGAAAAGCAGTACAGACACCATAATAGAGGCTCTTTAAACTTTTAGAACCAGTAGTTAAAAGTTTTTTGATGATTCAGAGAAAAACACGTTCTCACCTGAAATATCCAATGATCATGATGGCCACAAGCAGGGAGCTGAAGGACACGGCGTAGCCGGTGGTGTACATGACATACAGACGCTCAAAGAAGTCTTGCTGTGAACAAACACAAATATGATTCCGTCTGCTATTAAAGGTAATATGCCATAATTAGGGGTGGAACTTGATTACATTTTTAATTTAATTAATTTGAGGCTTTGTAATTAATTAATCTTAATTAATCACATTTTAATCATTCAAGGCAATTTGCACCCAACCAATTTTTGAAATAAAAAATAATTTTAGTGAGGCACAGACGACACCTTACTGAGTATATTCCTGCTTGCTCTCATTATAAAGAAAACATTGGTGGGATTTGTTGGGATAATAAATATTAGTAAATGTTTTATTGGTTAAGTGTAAATGGACATGGCACATTGTAAATGTTGTGTACTGAACTGAATACTAGTTGGCAGCAGATCACTGCTAATATATAAAGAAGTGTAGTGTGGAGTTCAGGGGAAGTTCTGCTGAGGGTTACAAGATGAATGCTGCGTGTGCTTCTCCCTCCTGCTGTAATAAAGTTCTTATAGATGAAGTTCCTGCCTGCCTTCTTTCTACCAACTACAAAATGGCAAAAAGTAGATTTGTTTTCATCCTTTCTATTCTTCATGAAAAGCGACTTGTCATGACTTGTTTAATTGTATTTTTACTTGTGTTTGGAGCATGTAAAAAATGTTATATGGTCTTGTTGCTGAGGCTCTGTAGGTGCAGATTGATGATATATATTCATATACAGGGCATAAATGTGATGCCAAACTTTTCAGGCCCCCAATTAGGGGGCGCTCGAGCTCAAAGGGATATAATCTTAACATGTTATTTTTTTTCTAATTAATTAATCATACTTAACGCATTAAATTCCCACCCCCAGTCAAAATATGTTACAAATAAAACAATAAAAATAGCACAGCTTGTGACAATTTAAGAATCAAATATCAAAGAAAAGTCTTTAAAAAGACAGATTTGAATTTATCTTGGGGATTTTATTAACACACAATTTATTTTGAAATCTAAGATGACATTTGTTTTTGAACACTAGTCGAGCTACAATAAGCCAAAAGACTTTGTTGATACCATTTCTAAAAAAAATGCAATTTTCTTCTTCATCACATTTATCTTCTTCTGGATAATTAAATTCCCAAATAAGCAAGGATTTTATTCAAAGGTTGATATATTTAAAAAAAGGTGGATAGAAACCGCTTCAAAAATAGTCTTTATTTGACTCTCACATTTTCATTTTCCTGTAAGTGAAAAACTGAAGCAAAATAAAAGTCAAGCGGATAATGTTTTAGCTTTCTGCAGCTTTAGAACTTCTCTGCAGAGGTAGAGAGAAGTGGCAAAAGGGCGTTTTTCAGCAGAGTTACCTAAATCAGACATTTCTTACTAAGCTGCCTAATGGAATATTAAGTGTGCAGAGTTAACAAAAAATGCACTTTAAAAACATTATGAGCAGAACAAAAGAAGAAAAATATAAAGTTTAAAAAGTCAAAAACTAAGAGATTTTTGCAAATCTATTTAAAATTGAGTCACTCTGCTGGTAAGTTTAAGCTCTACAGTAAAGCATGGAGGTAGTGATGTCATGAAACGGGCTTGAGCACGCTGGTGGTATGTGCTCTAATATATGTAATTTTGAAGATAGTGGCATTGATGCAGACATGATTTCCTGTGTGTGACAGTTTCCCAGGTGTATTGGTGTGTTTCTCAGCAACAAGGACAGAGAAACTGATAAAAGCATGAATGCTGCATGATGCAAAGGAGCAAAGATGGAAGAAACTAAACTCTGGCTTTAGTGTAATGGTTTACTGCTGCAATCAATCAGAGCATACCACAAAACACCTCTAGAGTAGATTTTGGGGAATTTTACTCACCTGGTCAAATGCTAAACTCTTAAACTCTCACTGTAGACATCTGAACATTGAAGTCATTAAACACTTTTCACTAAAGGTGACAGTGTTTGAAAATGTCTGTTTGAGAAGATAAACCTCTGAAATGAAGTGAGAGAAGAATCTCTTTCTTTCTTTAATTTTTTTTCCCCATTTGCACTGCTTGAAAAATGTCCATGATAAGCCAATTAGAAAAATGTTACAAAGTGTGGATTTACTAATTCATCATTCTCTAAATGCAATCGGGGCCGTATAAAATCACTCTGGGGCCCAGAAATGACCCCTGAGCCACACCTTGGACAGTCCTGCTGCAGATGAACAACTTAAAAACACTGATCTTTATAAACTAAAACAGCAAAAGAGAAAATGCTTTAGATAAGTCGTGTTTCTGTGACGCATCAACTCAAATCAATAAAAAACAAAAGTAGCCGCTGAGTGATTGAGTGTCTCACCATTATGACGTGAATGATAATGAACCAGGTTTGTTTACTGTTCTGCAGGCTACTCTTGATCTTAAGTGACCAAAATATCAGTTCAAGCATCGAGGTTTCAGATTTCCCTGACGGACTCATCATGGTTCATCACAGACCATCAGCGTTTAATGACCAAACAAGCCATGATGCCTGTTTACTCGTCAACAAAGGGACAACATCTCTGATTATTTATTTTTACTCCCCTCTTCAGGCTTTGATTTGATCAGATATTTTATGTTTTGAAGTTTCTCTCAGTAATTAGTTCTGATTAGCAGCTTTTTGTTCATCTTAATGTTTGATTACCAGAAAATAAAAGCACATTTGACCGTCGGACACTTTTTTTTATATTTATTGCAACACAGAAAAGAACAAAACAAGCTGAACTGTGAGGCTGGAAACAGTCTGTGGTAAGGCTCAGAATTCCTTTTCTCCAATAAAAAAAAGAACAATTTACTTCTTTAGAAAAGGAAACTGGTTTATTTTCTTCTAAAACTATTTGTTTAGCAAACCTGTTTAACTCAATTGTTTGCTGCTGGGGATGTTTTAATTTGACTCAAACGATCCCAGAAACATTTGAAATCAATAAAAGTGATGACTGGAATTATGATCATGATTATGTCATGATCCTGTTTTTTAGTGACGGGCAGTTTCTGGAAACTAAAAACATCAACAGAATCAGAATAAAAGCCAAAAGTTGAAATCTGTTGGTATTCTGATGTTAATCTGGTATTTACACAATTTACAATGAAGTTTTTAATAATAGAGGCTTTATTTAGGGCTACAGAGAGCTGGGACATGGCTGCAGACCTCTAGCCTTTAACTCTGTGCAAATTTTACAATTTTTCTATGTACGTTTTGCTTGGATGGTGATTGGCCAGTGTTGGGAGTAACGCGGAACAAATGCAATTAATTTCTGTAATGCATTGCTTTTTGCTGTAATGTGGTAATGTAAGGCATTACAGGGAAAGAAAATGGTAATATTTACTCTGTACAAGTGTCAGTAACACGGTAATTACAATGCATTTTCAAACCCAGAATCAAGATATGGGTTTCCTAAAAATTCTAATTGCAGGAAGCCTGAAAAAAGATCCAGTATCCACATATATGACGTCATTTATGGACTCAGCTTTGTGGGCATTCTATGAGCAGAGAGGACGCAACGGTAACGGCTCAAATACTCCAGCTGTGTCCTGCGCGCGGCCGCTGTTATATTCACAAAATCGCTCCATCAAAACAAAGTAATTTGTTTGCGATCGTTTATATCAGCGCATATTCTCTGATAATTCATGTACTTTTCAGCTGAGTTCATAATCTGTGCCCCGGTGATTTCAACTCATTGCTGCAGGAGCGCAGCGCATATTAATTTTTGCGTTCGGTAGATCCCTTTGGCTGATTAGTTAGAAAGTAGGAAATCTAGAAAATAGTTTTTCTGGAAGGCGGAGAAAACATGCAGCATGCAGGAAGGTTAGAGAGAGACAGGGCAGGAAATTGTTCAAATAAAATCAAGTAAAAAAGAAAAAAAGTAGGTAGATTTATGCCTAATACACAATCAATAATATATAAGCATTTAATATTTATACATGTGATAGAATCAGATCACCCCAGAAGTCAGTCCCACATCCAGGGCCGTATCAAGGCATTTGGGGACCAAGGCAAATATAGGCTTGGAGCCCCCACCACCTCACTCCCTGCTCAGTTAATATAAGATGGCAGCATGCTGAGAGTACAGATTGTTGTTGCTTTTATTTAATAAACAATCATTTTAAAGCATATCTGACTGTTTTTAACAGCAATCCTAGCTCAGACACCACATCACCTTCCACATATATGTCAAGAACTCACTGAGCGTCACATTACCAGATTCATACTGAAGTTGTTTTGGTGAAAGTAACTTAAAGTAATGCAAAAGTAGTGTAATGCCTTACATTTTAAAATCAGTAATATTGTAATGTAATGAATTACTTTAAAATTAGGGTAAAGAGTAATAAATAATGCATTACAGTTTTGAAGTAACTTGCCCAACACTGGGATTGGCTAAAGGTTAGAAAAACGTTTGGGTCATGGCAATAAATAAAAAGCTCAGCCTTAAAGCTGCTCTCCGGAGTTTTCCCCTTTCAGGAATTATGTATCATTTTTTTTCAGAAATACATAAAAGGGATTGTCATATGATGTAGGTAATACGTCAATTTATTTATTTATTTATTGCCAGTAGAGCTTAATGCAATATTAAACGAGCGCTGGTCAGCACTAACCATTAGCATAAGACTACTGCTTACGTACGGACGTTAATCATGGCGTGTGCTCAAGCATTTAAGGATGCATCCCGGTTGATGCAGGTTGGCGACGTTTCTCATATACAAGTCTTAGAAATATAAATACATGAAATCAAATCATCACATGGGCATAATAATTGTGACACAATGTGTTTTAGCTCTGTTTTGTCGGCTAATCACGCCCACAAATGAAAAATGAAAGTAGGTGATGGTGTGATACGCTTGTCAGCCACTAGATGATGCCATCACATAAAAGAAAAAATGTAGACAGCTACTTTACCTTCAACTAACTTCCACATGAAAACACATCAGCAGATGAGAACCTCTGGAGGCAGTGGAGCAGCGCACACACTCACTGAAACAGGAAGTTGGTGCATGCTCGCTGCTGTCTGTCTTTTTATTGCCAACTATATATTGAGAACTTTGTCTGAAAAAGCTGTTTTCCAACTTTTCCAGTTGTGTTCCCAACTTGATTGATTAAGTTGCTGAATTTTTGTGATCTCGGGGTCTTGTTTACGAGTAAGGGAAGGAGGGAGTGGGAGATTGCCAGGCGGATTGGGGCAGCATCTGCAGTGATGCAGACGCTGAACCGGTCCGTTGTGGTGAAGAGGGAGCTGAGCCAGAAAACAAGGCTCTCAATTTACCAGTCCATCGACCGCCCAGTCCTCACCTATGGTCATGAGCTTTGGGTAATGACCGAAAGAAGAAGATTGCGTATACAAGCGGCTGGAATGAGTTTTCTCATTGGATGGACTCAGTCTTAGGGATAGGGTGAGGAGCTTGGACATTCGGAAGAGACTCGAAGTAGAGCCGCTGCTCCTCCATAGCGAGAGGAGTCAGTTGAGGTGGTTTGGGCATCTTGTTAGGATGCCTCCTGGACGCCTCCCCAGGAAGGTGTTTCAGGCATGTCCTGCCGGCACGAGGTCCCCTGATCAATCCAGGACACTTTGGAGAAAGTATATCTCCGAACTGGCCCAGGAACACCTTGGGGTCCTACTAGAGGAGCTGGTGGAGGTGGCCAGGGAAAGGACAGTCTGGAACTCCCTAGTTGGGATGCTGTCCCCACGACCCGGACCCGGGTAGGCGGAAGAAGATGACAAGACGAATTTTTGTGATTTTAAAACTGATCATTACCAAGCACTCTGTGGTTTTGCATTAATGTTCCGACAGATTTACTCACTCTTGCCTCTTCATCAGTGAAAGGCTGAAGGAAACGGAGACATTCTGAGTAGTTGGTCCATGTTTTATTCCAGTTCTCCACAAAGACCCAGGACCCATTGGCATCACACTTCCTGTAAGCGTGCCCTGCAAAAATGAGTTTGGAAATGTAAGATTGACATTTAGAAATGTTTTTTCTTCTTTCTTGCTTTTAGCAATAAACTCTATTTGTTGCTTTTGTAAGCCTCAGGCAGACAGTGTGCCATCTTAGGATGAGTCATGACATAAAATTGGTTTTGTGCATAAAGCAAGAAGGTCTTAATGATTAACTTTCACTATAAATGTGCAATCATTGTACAAAGTAAGCAAGAAGCATGACTAACATGAGATATTCTGTGATGCTTGCCGAAAAGGAAGGAAGCATGACCAAAAACAATCAAACATAAGCAGCAGCCAGGAGTTTTTAAACATTAAAGTATATTTCTAAAAGAGGAAATGTGTGTATTTACTGTTCTGAAACAGCCAGGTGCGCTAACCTAACTAAACTATCAGTAATGATTTTAGAGAAGAAACTCCTGCTGCTCCCTAACCCTACCCCTAACCTTAACCCTAACCATTTTCAAAGTATTTTGAGTTACTGAGAAAAAAAGGTTCACAAGCGAAAAACATTCAAGCCATTCGTCAATACTCTCACAAGTGGAAGTCTCAGAAAGTTTGCCTCGAGGTCAAATTGTTCCATTCTCAGAGAAGCTGGAAGGAACCCAAAGAGCAGCGAGTCTCAGCCGGAGATTTAAATGTTGATGTGTCACGGTGAAGTCACAGCTTGTGCAGTCAGCTGGGGGCTTGTGAGGAAGAGTTTCCAGGAGGAAGAATTTTCTCTTTAAAGTAAACATGATGGCACAGAACGTGAACCTGGGTTTGATGCTCCTTTTTTTAAAACCTCCAAAACCAGATTAGCCCCAGTTTTAGCAGCAAAATACAGTTTGTTAAAGCTGCAGGTGGAACCTGCAGCACCATCGACATGTTGTCTCTCAGCTGGTTCTGTGCCAGCAGGCTGCTGCTGAGTTTGGATACAAACTGACGCTGCCTTTCTTTAGTGAGAGTCTCTTAAGGGATGCTTAAAAAGGCTGTTTGTGAAACTAAGTTGTGTGTATGTTTGATGGGATTATACAAATTTAAATGATAAAGTAGGCTTTGTTTTGTATAGAGATAGAAATCATCCCCAACTAGTAATGTATACACACAAACATATGTGTGTGTGTGTGTGTGTGTGTGTGTGTGTGTGTGTGTGTGTGTGTGTGTGTGTGTGTGTGTGTGTGTGTGTGTGTGTGTGTGTGTGTGTGTGTGTGTGTGTGTGTGTGTGCATTCATACTTTATTCAAATTTAAAATACTGACACAAATCTAGAAACGAATGAGACAAATACTGTTTTTGTTCAAATTAATATTCTCTACATCACTCAAGGTGGCAGTGTGTAGTTTCTTGGTAATAGGGGGCAGTACATACACATATTTCAGGATAGTTTTACACCATATCATCGAGACTATTGCCACTTCAAAGAAAACATTACAGTCAATATTATCTGCGGAGCAGAAACCATGTGACCTCGGCATGACTCAGTAGAGTTTGATGGTCCTTCGGTTAGTTCCATCGAGAGAATGTAAAGCTGATTGTAGATTTCTGGCATTGTCATTTTCAGAATGGCTCGGGGTCCTGCGCCTGCCAATTATGTCATCATACTAGGGCGATTCCGCTCAGCCAAAATATATTCTATCTCTTTTTCGATTCTGTTCTTTCACATACGTTTTGGAAAGAGTTTAGCATTCTTGGTAATGCATTTGTGTTTCTTACTGCCTAAATGTTTTCAAACATGGTAATGTAACTTAAGTAAGTCGTACGTTCAGCCAATCATCTAGTGTGACGTCATTGACAGGCGCAGGACCCCGAGCAAGCCAGAAGGAAACATGGCGTCTAATATGGCGTTCCCCCAAGATACTAGATCGCATCCTATGTACTGTAGACCTGATTTTGATGGTTATATCGTACAAAGCCACCAGTATTTTTTAACAACTGGACATTTTATTCATTTTCAACCATATTTGATGGATACTTCCAGAGATTAATGGTAAAAACTACACACTGTCTCTTTAAGTACTCCAACATTTTCATTCAGAAATCATCTCTTCATTGGTGGTGGACGAGAAAAAGAAAAACTTCTAACCTTTATGATTGAAGTCATAGATGTAAGAGGGGCAGGGAACCTTTGTAACCTGCCCAGGTGAGCCTTGGGGCCAACAAATAAGACCGTCCCAGTCACGAGGACACAGCTCATCTACAGCAAAAAAAAAAAGAAGGAATCAAAAAAGAAAACAAACTCAGATGAATCACGTTGACTATGAAGGTTATCGTTATGGCCACCGCCTATATGTGTGGGGATGATGTCTTCAGCACCAGAACAGCTCCACCCTGGATGCTCTCTCTCTGAAGTTCAGCACCAGGGACAGCGCCAGAGCAGAGAAGCCCTGCACAGCTGCTCTAGATGATGAGCAGCTGTCTCGTCATCAAGGGAAGAGAAGAGAAATGGAGGGCAGATCAGTTTTTGGCGGAGCCTAGTAATTGGCCAGAACTGAAGGTGAAGCTATAAACAGAAACTGTGGCAGTCTTTTAAATAATTAAGTCCCTAATAAACACGCATGTGAGAGTTGGTTAAAGCTGACTAAATTAAATTCTTTAGAATCATCTAATCCAAGGCCAGACCTCAATCCAATTAAGAATGTGACTAAATTGCTTTGTACTTTCACAGAAAGTACCCAATTTAAAAGAAAGATGTGTTAGATATAAAAAAGGATTCCCCGGGAAAACAAATGCTGGAATAACTCTAAGAAGCTGTAAAGTGGAATATGTGATCCAATGAATTTTCAGGTTTTTGCCTTTTTTTGTAAATCTTATTCTACAGGGGGGGCAGCAGTAGCTCAACAGGTTGAGCAGGTTGTCCAGTAATCGGAAGGTTGCAGGTTCCATCCCGGCTCCGGTCAGAGAATTCTGCTGTTGTGTCCTTGGGCAAGGCACTTAACCCATCTTGCCTGCTGGTGGTGGTCGGTGGGACCGGTGGCGCCTGTTCTCGGCAGAAACGACTGTGTCAATGCACCCCAGGGCAGCTGTGGCTACATCGTAGCTCATCACCATCAGTGTGTGAATGGATAAATGATACACCGAAGCATGGACATAATTTTCACTTTAGAAGTGGGGGGGACACGGGGGTGTGGGGTGTGTGTGTGTGTGTGTGTGGGGGGGGGGGGGTATCTTTACAGTATGCTTTAATGGGAAACAGGCTTTTCCGCTAGGTCCTAGAGCTCAACCAGTGTCAATTTAATATAGCGTAATATTGTTTTGGGATGGTAAAAAGTGCAGGGGTCAAAACTTGACTTTGGAAAAAGGGGGTGGGACATGCCCCCCCCCCCGTCCACCCCCACCCCCCAAATTGCGTCCATGCACCGAAGTGTAAAACGCTTTGGAGTCCTTACTCTGAGAGGCGCTATACAAGTGCGGGTCATTTATCATTTTATTAAAAGGAGGCAGAATTATTATATCAGATGATAAAAAATCATATGTCCCCTTTAAATTGGATTTTTCTGATCATCTCAAAATAACAAAATATTTCTTCCACCTGAATGATAAACATGAAACAACTCTTATTCCTGATGTGTAACTGTAAAAACAACCTGTGGTTGCTGGTTCCATACTGGACAGGTTCTGGTAGCACTGCATTTTGACTTCATACAGGATGAACATCTGCTCCTGGGCAGAGAGTGGACCGTCAAACCCCATCTGTGGAGCACAAAGAGCAAGATCAGATCTCTGACCCTGTGACCATACATTATGTGAATAAATTATCCTTTGCCTAAATTTTTATAACATCTAGGCCAACTAAGCGTCCACCATCTGCTCTGTGCAGGTACTGGCCATGAAAATGCTTGGGAGGGGGAAAAGGCTTGACCACAGAGTTCATGTCAGAAAGCAGTTAGAAACACTTTATTTTGACATTTTCATTTGAGTACCAGTTGTGACTCAGGTGGTCTGGGACCACAGCAGCACATCTGATTCACCTTGCATATTTTACCCCAGAAGGCTGTATGTAGTCATGTCATTTAGCGTTTTGTTCTTTTATTTTTTTTCCATCAAAGTTTCAATATGTTTCAGTTCATTCACTCACAGTTCCAACTTACCTCCTGACCCACAAAATGTGAGTAATGAGAACATTCTCACACAATGACAAATTGCATTACCCAGAATGTCCCATGAATCATTTAGGTGGGTATTTTGCAGAACGAGTCTTGTTAGAACAAGCTGAAATTGTTTTAACAATTAAACTAGTCACACTAATACGTTTACTGTTGACTTATATATTCTGAAACTTGAAATCTACTTTGGAAGTGTGATGTTTGGTGCAGAATTGTCACCTGGAGTGGTTTGTAATTGAGAAAGTCATGAATGTCGATAGGCTTGGCAGCCCTGAGCTCAGAACCAGGCTATGGGCCAGGTAGAGATATTGAACAACACAAGGAGGCAAACCTGGGAGCCCCCAAACCCTGTGCACCATCACTGCTGTAAGGCCAGCTGGGGGAAAAGCAACACCATCACCCAACAGCCCACTCCAATACACAGTTATGAGTCACTAAACACAGCAAAACAAGGACAAACCCTCCCTGATCAACCTGAACGTTTCTGTACATTTAGGAAAACAATGACAGGAACTCTGATTTTATGGTGTTCCTCAGGGATCCATTTTTGGGTTCATTACTTTTTAATTTGAATAAGCTTGTTTAGGAACTTCGGGGTAATTTCTGGGGGGGGGGGTGAGTGAAGTGGAAGATGCAATGTCCCGGTCCTCTCAGCTGCTGTCTCCATGCAAATTCAGCTCTTTCAGGTCTTTGAGCAGATGCCACGTTAGCATGCTTCGGCAGTGAGTGATGTCACTGATAAGCACAAAAGAGTGACGCCAGCACCGCTTCATATCACATTTTAACAAGAAGTCTTTTTATTGATTTATTTTCTTTCATTTTAATCAATAAAGACTTTCTCCTGCCCAGGAATTATTTGGCAGAGCCTCACTTTTTAGTTTTATAAACCCATAAATCTGACTTAAATCATGATCTTTTCGTCTGCAATCAGTTTTCTTTTAAACAGGTTCACAAAAACAATAAAGGTGACATTTGCAGAGGTGTCACTTTTTATCCTGTCTCACAAGAGGAGGAACTTTACTGTTTGTCTGAACTGCTGACAAGAGATATTTTCTTACATTTAAGTCAGAAAACGTAAAAATAAAAATGTTAGTCAAATATAATCTTAGCATTACAAGAAATCTTAAACATGAAAAAAATCTGTTAACCAGTTATGTTACATAAACATCTCAGCATTACATTTTTTATTGCAACTTATTGCTGCTTCATCTTATCTGTGGTAATCTACCGACATTCAAGCCCGTTCAGCAACAGAATTAACTCCCATTCAGAAAATAAGTTCAGCACATTAACACATCTGACTCAGAAATGTATTGTTTTGACTTTTTATTCAGAACTGTGTTGGATACTTCAATCATGACACCAAAATGTCAAACTGCCACTGAACGTACAAAACAGGATGCATGAAGTGATTTAGTATTCCACCCAGGGGGACCATAAACGTCACTGCAAGATTTCATCGCAATCTGTCCTGGAAATGTTGGGTTATTTTACTCATTGTGAAATGGAGACACAGTCTGGGAGCATCTTTATGCATGCTTTGTATTTTGCTTTAGGGACCATCTTCTAATAGATTATCATTAGAAATGCTGTAATATCATTAATACTGCCTCACTTTGTTTTTAAATGCACAGAAAACATCACTTTCACCTTGAAACCTATAAGTTTGACCAGAATAAAAAAAGAAAAATGTAACTGAGCCCAGTCATGTTTCCACAATCAAACATTCTTATTTCCATTCATAAAACGTTAACTTGGCAGAAGGGGGGCTTTTAATACAGTTCAGTCAGAGCTTTGGCAGGAACTTCTCTGGACTTCATTAAATCACGATTCAAAGTTAAAGCAGCTCAACTTCTTTCAATATGTAGCTTTCAACATTGAGAGCAGTGGTGAAGCCAGAAACTTCCTTTCAGGATGGAAAAGTGGAGATTTTAATTTTTTTATTTTTCATTAGTGTGGGATGTGCACCGTCTCTGATGCATAGCTGCAGGCTGTGCCATTAAAGTAACAGAAAATAATTATTTATTTTTTGTTTGTTTGTTTTTACTTTAAGCTAGAGCTTTAATGTTGATCTCAGTCGTTGTTGGGTTAGAAACTTGACCAGTTTCATCTTTAACACCATTCTATAGCCCTCTACTGGCCAGATACTACATTACAGCTGTTAGCTATTTTCTGTGCAGTTAGCTTTTTCAGTTTGCTGATCGTTTGCTGAAAGTAGAAGAATAAGTTGGCTTTTTTGTTGGCGTCATGGAAGAGCCTGGAAGCTAACAGTTGTAATGCATGTATAAGAGCACCCCACTAGAACACCTAGGTGCAGTATCTAGCAAGCAGAGGGCTATAGAATGGTGTCAAATATGAAACTGGTCAAGTTTCTAACCCGACAATACCTGAGATCAATGTTAAAACTCTAGTTTCAAATTTAAGAAACTATTTAGTGTTACTTTAATTTTTGGCCACACATATTTAAAAATGCACACAATGACCCCCATTCAGAGCTTTCATTTATGTTAACCTGGTGCTCATCACAACAAATAATCAGAAGCAGTAGCTCATGTTCAGCTTTTTAATTTGCTAATTAAAGCTGTTTACTTTTCTACAGTGGGGCAAAAAAGTATTTAGTCAGCCACCGACTGTGCAAGTTCTCCCACTTAAAATGATGACAGAGGTCAGTAATTTACATCATAGGTACTCTTCAACTGTGAGAGACAGAATGTGAAAAAAAATCCATGAATTCACATGGCAGGATTTTTAAAGAACAAATTGGTTTTAGGAAAAGTATTATTTGCTCAGACTCCATGTCTGTATTGTTATCAATTAATGTCAGCTGATAAGAGGTCAGATATTTTGTATGAGATATTTGAGTGCTTGTTTAGGTTGATGAAGAATTATCCAGAGGTTAGATTTATGTGGGTTCCAGCTCACAGTGGAGTAGAGGGTAATGAAATATCTGATTATTATGCAAAGCAGGCAACAAAACTGGATACTATGATGGAGGTTCCATGTAGTGTTGCGGAGGTGAAATCAGTTATTAGACGGCAGATTCTGGATGAATGGCAAGAACAACGGATAAGGGACGTGAAAGGAAGACATTTGTACAAATTAAAGGCAAAGCTTGGAAGAATGGAAGTCATTCAAATGAGTAACAGAAATCAAGTTGTAATAACAAGGATGAGAATGGGACATACAGCTTTGAACAGTACGCTTTTGATGGGCTCGACACACGGGAGGCGACATCGCCTCTCCTCCATTCATTTTCAATGAGACATGCGCGACAAAGCGATAATCGCAGGTCTCCCTCCTACCAAGCGAAACGCGAAAAACGTGCGTGTGAAAGTTTGCACTCGTGCACGTGTCGTGCACGTGCGACCCAGCGATGCAATCCCAGAAAGTTGAAACATTTTCAACTTTTCATCGCTGTCGCTCGGACGAGGACCAATCAGCAGAGGTTTCATTCACTGACCAATGAGCGGACAGGATGCTCCGCACACCTCCGAGCAAACATGGAGGAGAAGTTGATTATTATTATGTTTATATAGTAAAATCAGAAGTAAGATTTCACATAACTCTAGCAGCACCTTGTGAAACATCATATCTACCGCTTTATTAACTCTGAACCGCTTAAATCACCTTAATTCCCTCCAACCTGACACAGCCAAACAAAACAACGGAAGTTTCGATTTCGCCATGGAACAGATCGCGTAGATGGGCTTGCCGCTGGCCGCTGCCGCGGATCGCCTCCCGTGTGTCAGGTAATAAAAGCGACAGCGACAAATTTCGCTGATCGCGGTCGTTTGTCGCCTCCCGTGTGTCGAGCCCACTTGGACGGCGTAATACCGGTATGTGTGACTGTGGACTTGATAGGGAAACAGTAGAACATGTATTATGTACTTGTAGAAAATATGTGGGGAATAGGGTAATGTTAGCTGAAAAATTAAAAGTTAAAGGAAATAAGACATATGATTTGAATATTCTGTTAAACGGGGGGATAGTGGTGTATAAGTTAGTCATAGATTTTTTAAGGGAAAATGGAATACTTACTAGGATTTAGTTTTTTTTTTTTTTTAGAAGGATACCCCCCACTTCAACTCACACTCCCATTCAGTAGGTGGCGGAAATGCACCTGAAAGTTGTTTGCCACCCGCCAATTAAACAACAGAAGAAGAAGAAGAAGCCCCCGCTGCTGCATTGACCACAGTTCATTTTCAGTGTTTCGGAAGGATTTTCTCCGGTAAGTTGATGAAATGTCATAATTTTTTTGCATTGCGAAGCGTTAACTAACCGCTTCGTACCAAAATAAGCCAACCATGATATTTTATGCTGCCAGTTTTAGCTAGATAACCTTTAATGAGCTAACTATGTGCAGCTTGTTGATTGTGAGCAGAAGGGTTTAGACAAGCTTGACGAGCTGTAGACGGGTTTATTTCAGTTTGTTTGATTCTACGTTTTAAAAATATTCCCCACAGTTTGAAATAGGTTTAAAATTTTCACATTATTAGTTTTATTTGGGATTTTTTTGTACAATAAGCTGGTTGCTGTATCAACACGAACATGCATCAGAAATGGAAGCACAAATGGAGAGACCAAAAATAAAGAAAATGTGATTGTGAAGACAAGTAATTATTTAATATTTTTCAGTTAATAACACTGACTGCAATGAACTGCTGAAGCATGAGACAAACAGGATTACGAACATAAGAAGATATGTTGTTCTGTTTTGTGGACTCAGGTAATAAGAATAGAATGATGATATTTCAAGAACAGTAGTTGAACACAATAACTTTTAAAATTTTGACATTTTCCATAAAAATGTTCATTTCCACTTGCTTTATAATATCAGCATTTGCAATTTTAAGGAAGGAATGACAAGAAATAAGAATTAACAATAACACAACTATCAATAAATAAATGGCAAAGAGTAAGTAAAACAAAAATCTTATGTAACCATTAAAGGTTAAACTGTGTTGTGTGTCCATCTTCATGTTTTCATAGTGGCTGAGGGGAGAGCTGACCAGGAACAATGGTGGTGGCAAATCCCAGTTGGGTCTGTGATGGAGTGATGCACGCCTGGAGTGATTGCCTTCTCATCCACAGTAAGCACACACTCTCTTTCCATCTCTGTCAGATTTTTAACCTTCAAACTGAGCATGTCACACACCTCTCCTAACACACCTGGTTCCAGTTAATGGGCTGCATTTGTCTTTGCAGGGCTCTAACATCAGGCAGAGGGATGCTGGTGTCCTGAAGAAACCTGTAGCCTGTTGAACCCACTGAAAAGCGGAGTTGTACGGCCTTTTTCATTGTCTGTTTACTCCATTTAATGCCTCTTGTGTTTTTCATGCCTTTTTGACTTTCTGTTTCCTCCCTCAGGTTTTCCAGCTGGGTTCCCAGGTTCCAGCCTGCTCCTTTCTCCTCCTGGCCCTGACGCCGGCTCCGCATGGCTTCCTGGGATGTCCCTCTCTCCTGATACCATCTCATGTCCCCTCTCACTTTCCCTCATCCAGAGGATTAAGTTGCTTTGTGTGTGTGTGTGTGTGTGTGTGTGTGTGTGCGTGCGTGCGTGCGTGCGTTTATTTTCTCACAGAAGAAGAACCCAACACCAGCAGACTCAGTGCTCCACTCCGGCAGCCTGAAGAGACACCATCATCAGCTTCAACAGATGTCTGTGAACACGTAGGAGCTGCCAGCCCCATGGATCCTGCTGACTGGCCACAGCAATTGAACAAAATGGAAAGTAGAACTTTCTTTATGATGACACTGATATTTGAGTTTTGCTTTTGATTGCACAGTTTAATGCTGCTTTTGATTTTGCACCCCCCAATGACATTTGCACATTTTGAGTTGTTGGTTATTGTAATATTCTCAGGTTACTTATCTTCCAAGCTTATATTTATTCTTCGGGCTGTTGACTTTAAAGAGTTGCTGTGTGAATATTTAAAATAAAAAATTTGTAACTAAGGAATCACTGTGGAGTTACTTTTTCCAATGTGTGGTGGGTTGGTGGACTTGGGTTTGGGTGAGTAGCGTGCAGGCACGGGGGGTGGGGGCGCAAATGGGCACCCTCGCCTTGGGCACCAAATTACCCAGAGCCGGCCCTGCTTCCTCGTCCTAGGTTCAGGGCGATGAACAGCATCAGCCCTGAGTCTCACCTTGCCTTGCCTAGTCTTAGTTAAACTGTCCCTCCTCAAAATGTGCCTGTAGAGTGGTGTATTAGTTTATTTCCTGCCACATTTAACAGTTTAATTGCAGCCTTGTGCAGTTGAGAGCAAAACATGTAGAGCCTTGATAGAAAACATTATAGAGTGCACATTAAACTCTCTGCACACCGCTTTTTGTTATTGTAATCTCTGGTCATGGTGAGGTTGCTCCTGCTGACTTGAGCCAACCATTTTCTTCTTCTCCCTGCGTCTTTGGGTAAGCCGTAATTCTGATTCCTCCCTCAGACCGATTGCTATATGCAGCGCAGCCAACAAGATAATCAACCTATATACTATTTTTGTACATATAGAAATATTGAACTAAACCAAAAATATAGAGATGTAAAATTACATTTCAAAATTTTATCCAACCCTAAAATTTGTAATTTCAAATTTTAACCCACTGACTATTTTTTAAAAATAATAATCAAAATAAAGTTATTCAAAAGAGTTTCATTAGGTCTTGAGTGCATTGCTCATAATTATTGATTCAGCTTATTTGTGCATATGTAATGACTAAACATAATGTTGGTAAAAATGCTTTATTAAAAATGCTATTATACATGTTGTACAAGTTTGTTGTTCATTTTTTCACAGATAACACTTTTTTTTATCTACAGTGATTGACCATACAGTTTTATTGAAATTTTCTTTTTAATTAGTTGCTATTAGTCAGGCTATAGAAGCCAGATAAACTAGATGCATGTACTGTCTTCACATAAAAATATAAAGTAATGATTGTAAAATGTATTCTACTGAACATAATAGATCATCATTCAAAGCATAAACAGCTACATATTTTCTTGTAGGTAAGCTGGAGCAGACTTCTAGCTTTCAGTAAACCACTTTAAAATGGATATTACAACTCGAGTTTAGGGCTTCTTGTATGACTTATATGCTTATATTAGAGCAGTGTGTTGCATTATTACATCTAATTTAGTGCTATAGTATATTATAGTAATGTATGTGGTTTAAATGTATTCTACAGTGTGTTAGGACTGTCGTATTCCTGTAATGTAGAACAGTTACGGGTGTCTGTCTTCCTACAAATGCTCTGAAAAAAGTAAATTGGCTACTTTGTGAAGGAGTTAGGACATAATATATAATATAATATTATTCAATAATTACATAAAATCGCCAGGGGAAATGTGACAATATTAAATGTTTGTCATTTGTCCCATCATACGCCGTTCAAACTGACTTATGGCGCTGGGATGTTTGGAACTATTGAGAGCTCCATGAACCACGTGACCGCGAGTCGGCGAGTTCAAAGCGAGTCGCAGCTCTCTTTCTACAGCTCTGATATATCCTACATTCATATTATTAAATAAAACTAAAATAGTACTGACGTAAACAGCTTTTTTATAATTTAAACGTCCACGTTGGCCGGTAATTATCTGGATCTGGCTAATGGGGAGCCTAAGTCTCCTCTCCTTCTGGTTGGCTCATGGGTCCCCGATCAAAAAAAGAAAACAGAATGTTAGTGAACTGGGCTATAAAAGTTATTTTCTTGTCTTTCTGGGCATTGCTTTACACCCAGAGTCACATCTGTCAGGCTTTTCTAATCCTAGAGTTTCACCGTCTATCAGATTTTCTATCAGAAGCTACTGCAGGAGATAGCGGTAGGAGACTATGTTCATGTTCAGCCTGCATGAAACACTCAGTGACACGTTAGAACCAGAAATAATCATTAAATGTATTTTTTTCAGTGAGGTTGACCTATTGACCTACAACAGATTTGTTAGATTTCCAAAATGTGTCGTGCCCCCCCCCCCCCCCCCCCCCATATTAAACTCGTTCCTACGCCCTTGCGAATCACAGAAAAATATGAGATTTGTTTTCCAAGCATTTGTCATTTTATTGCATGACATCATTGATAATGTAGTGAATTGTTGTGATTCGTCATTTCCCATTTGTGCTGAAAGCATGCAGGATTAATCTCCTGCCCACAAAATCCAACCCATTTGTAAACAACACTAACCTCTCCAACTCCTCACTGGTCAGTGAATAATAAGCCAGCAAACCCAGTGATTCATGCATCAGGATCACCTGGTGCTTCATTTACATTCCTCAGGTGTCCGAACATTTTCTATTAAGCTCACTGCTGTTCCAAATAACTCAGACAGGTATCCTTATCTCTGTGCTTCAGATTGCTGCTCTTAAGAGTCAAACTGAGTCAAATACGATTTTATTTTTTAAAGAAATGTGTGTTTGAATTAGCAGATTGGGGGGCAAAATGAAGCAGAATGAGCTTAATGTTGTTTAGATAAAGAGTCTGTAGTGGCAGATTATGTCATGACAGAATTTACAAAATACATGAGTCATAAATGTGATCCTGGGTGTTGATGGTTCTTCAACATCTGAAAGAGGATCAAACAGCAGCTGGAAATGGTCATAATAATTAATAATAATAATAATAATAATAATAATGATGATATGTCAGAGGGTGTTTTATCTTTCCTTACCTGTGCGTCAGTCCAAGACCAATAAAACAACACGTTTAATATCCACAAAATAAAGTTCAAAATTCGCCGGTTCATCACTCCAGAGTCAGAATAAACAGACTAACGGCTGTACGTTAAATCCTCTCCTGTTTCTGCGCGTGCTTGTTTGGAATATTCACAAAATTAGAAAGTTTCACCTTAAGTTGCAAATCAAAAATCCCAACGGTCCCAAAATCCTCCAACGGTCTCCACGGAGAGAAGAACAAAGATTTCAGAACCGACTCCTGGGAACCACTCACGAGCTTTCCATTGCTGCAGCTGCGGAGGGCGAAACGTCGGACTGGCATTGGAGATCCCCGTTAACCCGGTGGCGTTCGGGACGCGGTGGGAGCGCAAAATGCGCACGAGCTGGAACGACTCGCTTCATTATCAGGAACCATCGGCTTGTTGGACACCTGAGTCACCTCATTATGGAAGCTCTCTCCTCATCTCAGTGGCCGATGCACTCCTCTGCATCCTCACTGGTCCAGCGGTGATGCTGCTGCATCACCTGGATTGTGTTAACTAGCTGCACCTGTGAGCGCAGAATAAAGCCTGGGTGCGGATTGAGTCAGATCGCCTCTGCACTGCTGGCTGATTGGTTGCGCGGGTTGGGTGATTTTACTCTTTTTTTTTTTTTAACAGGGCAGTACCACGGAGTCACTGCCAAGAGATAAAAGTGTCCAATTAAAGTCGAAATATTAGTTTCCCCATTACTAATGTAACATAAGCAACACAAAACGTCAAGTTGAAGAAAATTCCTTATAAAGAAAACAAAAGAAGACAAGTTTTAGTAACCACAATGAGAATTTTTGAATAATTTCCTGTAATCTTTCACAATAAGAGTCTCAAGCATTCTCATGCAACACACACACACACACACACACAGCCTATATAGCTTTAGTTTTAGTTTACGTTGGTTTACTTTATAAAAAAAAACCTGATACCATTAATTACAATAAAAACAAAACAAAAGCCTTAAAACATAACCTAAGTTTTCTATTTCTTAACTATTTTACATTTTCTGGAAATAGTGTTTATTTTATTTATTCTTTCATGGTGACTTTTCACTAGACATCATTTTAACTTGACATTTTGACTTTATGAAAAATAATTCAACTAAAATTTAACACTTGTCACTATATTTAGTTTAAAAGAATGCTATGCAACGTTTTCATATTTTTAATTCATTTTCTTGAGTCAGTATGTGCTAAAATGATCCTTTAACGGGGTTAAGGAAATGTCACTCAGACCCCCACGGCTTTCTTTGGCCAGAATACCGCACTTGCAACTTCAGAGTGGCGGTCAAATCTCTGTTGGACTCAGTAAAGCGGAGCTGATATGTGCCGGCGCTGGAGTCTGCTTGCAGCCTGTTTCCTGCATGTTTTCGATCACAAACGCAGCTGATTTGTAACAGACTAATGGCGGGAACAAACTGAGTGGCCAGAGAGTTGAGCTGTAGCGTCTGTCAAGACCCGGACGCGGCGGAGGCTAGCGTTGGGTGGATGAGACACTCAGTTTAGTATAGGAGCATCCACGCGTAACTCAGATAGGAAGCGACGATGTGCGGACGTTCCAGAGACAAAGAAAAGAAACGTACTAGTCGGGAGATGGGGTTGACTGGTTCGGACGGGTAGTACTCGTGGCATAGAAGAATCGATGACCGAGTGCTGGTGGAAGTGGAGGACTTCCATATTTAGGTAGTGCTGATGACGTATGACATGCGAGTTGGAGTCTAGGTGGCGGGTTTCCGGCCGGAGGGCCACTGGGGACCGTGGGGTGTGACAATTTGTTTGATTTGTGACTAATCGCTCCTACAGAAACCAATGAAGGCTGGGGAGATATTTCAGCTGTTAGATTAAGATGTTAAAAAGAAGAACAGCGAGGAGATAAGTTTTACTTTTGGTTTCACTAACAGACACTAGGGGGTGCTAAAAGGAAGCCAAAACTGCACAGTATCCCTTTAATCTCCACTTTTGCCACTTCTATTTGTTTTTTGATGTGGCAGATATGTTCTTTACTAAACACCACCATGTGGTATGGAAAGGGTGATTGCTCTCTTTCCATTTTGTGTACACCAGTCACTTATTTCTTCTCCTCTGTAGTGTATATAATCTACATACTAGGATTTAACACTGTTTGATATCAGCTTTGTTAGATCCTGAGAAAAGATCAGACACATTAGCATATGAACTTATATCATGCATAAATATCTAGGATATTTATGCAATTGATATAAGTTCATACACCAACGGGCTTGGTCTATATTTAATCCAATGATTAATTTTTAATTCAAGACAAATAAATTAATAGCAAAAGTTTCTTTATTAAACAGAAGACTTAATGAAATCTTTGCTTATTCAATAACCAAATATACACCTTTCTGTGTTTCATTTCAAAGAAGAGTCAGGTTTAAAAAGTTAAGAATTTATTACTAACAATTTTAAAGATGACAATTGAAATGACAATTTAAAAATGACAATTTAAAACAGCTTTGATATTAAAATTTGATATTAAAAGCAAACCTGTGTCTGAATGGAAACTAAAATGAAATGCAATGTTTGGATGCGTGGATGAATCTCAGAAGATTTCTTTCAGAGAGAGAAACACATTCTGGGTGGAAAAAGTTGTTTTGCAACCAACTGAGTTGTTTCTTGGAGAGAACAGCATCGGACGCCATCTATCGGAAAGTGTCTACCTCACCCAGTTCAGGAGACCCTCTGTTGGATCTGAGATGTCAGGTGGAGATGGTGTCCTCCGAGCACGAGGTTGGTAGAAGGACCTTAGTGCGACCAAATCGGTCCGAGATGTCTCCGGGTCACAACGACTGATGAAACTAGTTGCGTCTCAAAATCAATAACTCTGAAGGAGTTTTGCATCAGCTGGTTAAAGGTGGCGTTTATTCGGAGCGATTCTATCGGCGTGACAGAACAGCTTAGTGAAGCTTCGGGCGGCTGACCCTCGTCCTCTGGTACTCTCATCACCACGGAGAGTATCTGCTTGGTTCAAGAACTGAAGTTGAACTGAGGAGTTTTTGGTTTTAACAACACCTCAGAACACGCCCTCTCAGCGTCAGAAAGCTTGTTGTTATGGAGCAAAGACATGTGAAAGCAAGTTACCTTTACCCTGGATTCAGTTCTGCATGATGTGTGCACGTGCAAATGACCTTCTGGTTACTGTCAAACATTTCTGATTACCATAAATAATAATTATTATAAATCAAAGAATAATTAGTCATCTCAGTAATTAAAAACATTTATAATGAACCATGATGATTATTTATGATGATTGTAATAAACAGTAAAAAGAGTTTATTAAAATTATTATTTTAAATAATCTTGAAGTGTCCTTCATCTTGGGATGGAACAGCAGACAGATAAAAGATGGATTTAGCAGGCTGCACGGCTCCCGTGATGGATAATCCGTGTGGCAGAAGTTCAGCTGGACCCAGCTCAACCTAGCCGAGGAAGTGTGACCTTTGGGACACAAAATGAGGCCATTCATGTTGCTACATCTCACAGTAAACTTGAACATAAACATCTGTTTTCATGATCATTTATCACATGTGCCTTTCAGCCTGATACAAGTGAAAAGAGCCCAACTTTAATGATGTGACAATAAAAATATCAAAATAAAACTGTTTATTGGATCATTGACACCTCCTCTGGGCTGCGGGTATAGAAGACAAACACTTCAATGTCGATAACTCACACGCTGACGTCTTTTATTCCACAGAGTGGTATAACCAGGTAGTAAAACATCAGAACAAATTAAAGGCTTTCAACCAGACCAGTGAAATCTTCAGCTCACGCTTCAGACTCTCTCTACATCTGCGACAGCTCAGATGACGACTCCTCCCTTCCTTTTCAATCATGATCCCGTTGCTGCCATCTGGCAGAAGACTTGAGGTTCATTAGCACACAAAAACTGTTATAAGACTGTTTATTCCAGCTGCTGCTATCAGGAAATTTTTTTATGTGAAATTAAAAAAATCTGCTTATTTTATTTTAGATTAAATTCGTGGATGTGGCCTGCATTACACATGTTTAATGTAATATGTATAAGATTATGTGTTACTGTTTGTATTGTGTTTAGTTAGGGTCGTCACCTTCACTTCGGCTGATGAATATGGTCTGGAGAAACGGTTCCTGAGGCAGACTAGTTTGCTGCAGCAGGAAACAGAATAAATGCAGCCAATGAGAATTCTCCTGGACTTCGCCTAAAACACCCTTTTTATTGACTTAGGGGGACACTCCACTTCCTTGTTATGGGGCAGAACGATTCCCCCAACCCTTTTGTCTAATCTATAGGAGGGCTATATTATAGTAAAAAGTAGTGGGTAGCTTTCTTCAGTAAAAGGCGCACTTTCTGCATACAGAGAAAAGCTGACGTCATCTGGGTTTGTCAATGTCATGCTCCTGGGCAGAGGTGTCACACCATCTCCTCTCACCAGACTCTAAGCTAATTCTCCACAGGTGAGGAGCAGGGGGAGCGGCAGCTGCAGGAGATTTCCCAATCAGCGACGCGGGTTCAAAAGGAGGATGGAGACACATCACTTTGCCGGATGATTGCACCAGTTTAGGTAGTACCAGCCTTTGACCTTGATCTAGTTTGTTAGTGTTTTGACTCGTGTTTGACCTCTGGATTTATGACCTCGGATTGTGTTTAGGGATTACGATTTGGATTATCCCTCACGCCTGGTTTTTGTTCCACTCAGGATCCTCTCCTCATCTCCTCACCTTGTTCTCTGGATAACACACATCACGTCCCATCCTCCTCCGCTGCTCCTATTTGGCTTCCCTCTGCTACCTTGCCTTTCCTGGACCTCTCACCCTCTGCCCAGCGTCCTTCCTGGCTTCCTCTCATCTCCTCATCAACCTGAGCACTCCAGAGACTCGAGCCGTATTGCTCATCCCACAGGACTTCCCTGTGCGGTTTCAGTTCCCGTTTTTATAATAAAGACGTTTTACTTTACTGCTTGGACTACGTGTGTTTCTGCATGTCTTGGGTTAGGCACTTACCTCGAGTCATGACAGTCAAGTTAATCCCACATGCTGTAGAATCCTGCAATATTTCCTTAGGAATCTGCAATATAATGTAAAAGACAATTATCCAATTATTGCTAATTAAATGCTAGTTTTTGTCTCGTTGAACAAAAAAGTCAATGTAACGTTGAATAGATATCCAGTTTCTCCCTCCGACAGGTTGAAATCAGAATTACAACCGTTTTAAACAACCCAGCCACAGCCCTCTGCTGCTGACGCTAATGATGAGCTAACTGATGCTAAAATAAGTCACAAAGTAAAAAGATCCACACTGTTGGACCAAATAAAATTATTACTTAAAAGTCCAGTAGCAGCAAAGCCAGGTCATCGTCATCCGCTGATAAACGGAGAAGGAAGTGACGCCACCAACAGAAGCAAAACTCTGAGAAAGGCTGCAGTGACCGTCGAAACAACAGCAAACGCAAGTTAAAAATAACACTTCAGCTGTGTTAAAAAGAACCTTAATGCAGATGGATAAAACACCCAGAATGAACTAAAAAGATGTTTACAGGTCATCAGCAGTCCGTGATTTTCAGTTCCCTCAAACGAGTGTAGGCCACACCGATGTTCACTCCGGTTTTAGCTCTTTGCCTTGCCTCAAAAGACATTACGCTCTTACTTTTACTTCCAGGCTCCAGCATGATGCCAACAGAAATGTCAAATTCTTCTTCTTGTGTTTTTTATTTACAATCGTCAAACTGAAAAAGCTAACTGCTAGCCTTTACATTAGCTACCGGCCCAGTAAACAGCTATTGCTCTAAAGCAGGTTGAAATCTCCCACGTTCAAGTGCAGTTTCTGACCAGCAGAAGGTGTCAAGTGGTTGTCCAATGTGAAGTTGCTCTTGTCTCTGGCTGAAAAACTACCATAACCCGTTTGAAAGCAATTGCTAAAAGGGTTAAAACTCTTTTGTTTTGCTCTAACGTTTCTGATGGCTGAAAGAAAATATGTGTTTTAAGCTTCATTTATTTATTAGTAATCTTCTTAACTGTTTGTTAGTGTTTTACATCACAGGTGGAATGAAACAGACCTGTCTACATGTTTTTGCCGGATGCAAACCTTTACATTTCTAAAGCGTTGTCTTATTTCAGATTAGGCTTGAAATCCAGTAAATGATGTGGTCACTACAGAACATTCCACTTGTTTACCTTTCAGTCCTCCTGGGTGGCTTCTGGTCCACTGGATGCTGTTCATGACACC